ACACTACACATTTTAATCCTATCTGTGACCATTGCTACATAATAGGGATTCTCGTTTTCTTGCCTGTTGTATTTTTAGCCCATTCTAGGTGTGTTCCATGATGTACATAAGATTCCATACTTTTCTTGCCTCCTTACTGTTAGGCCTGGCAATGGTTCTTAAAACCCAAAAGAAAATGTCTATGGCCCTTTCTATTGCTAGGCTTGGTCACTGATTATTAAAACAGTAATTAGTATTCTGGCCTAGTGTAATGTTAGCCACATCTGTACTTCTTAGAACTTGAGAAGGGCCACACAAGCATTCCACATGCCAATCCATCCTGTAAATAGTGATGACTCATTTTTAGAGGTCTTTCAGTCCCTGAGCTTGTGTGACACTCACACCGAATGGATGTGGATAATTATCGGCTCCCAGACTCACTCAGTCCATGAGCAGATACTTTCTGAGACTCACACTAGAAGTCTCTCTCTTTCAGTCCCCGAGTGAGCAGCGAGGGCGAATCACACTGGAGGCGTCAACAGCCCTCGGCTGGAAGTCTCTCCCGGTCCCTGAGGCTCCCCAACTGAGTCTCAAACTGGAAGGGAATCCTTTTGGATCGCTTCCCTCACTGGTCAATGATGATCATGATCATTGCAGTCCATGAAACCAGAGAGACAAAAGAGATGCACTATTCCTGATTCCATCTGCACCGCCCCCCATGTTTAGGCATGGACCCTTGGTCACGCCTCCTTCGCCCCCTGCCACTCGCCTCAGCCCATTTACAGCCAGCTTTCCTCCTCCGTTGCCCTCCCGCAGCCATTCTCCACGGCCAGTGGACCCTTGGCCCTCTGCCCGTCGCCCTTCGGCCTGGACAATTCACCCAGACACCCTTTGTCCCGGGCCTTTGGCTATATGGGACAAATAGCCCCCAGCCATGGTGCTGCGGGGGCAGCATGCGATGAACAACCCCAGGGGCTGGGGAGGGCAGCTGTGATGCAAGATTTTTTTTAAAAAGTGCTCTGCTCTGCATGTTTTGGGGCCTTGCAGCTCTGACCCCAGAATCGGAAGGAGGGGGACTGGCAGCAGAAGTAGCAGCCACCGGGGCCACTGGGGGGAGCAGTCAGACAAGAGTGTGTTGGGGAAACAAGGGAGGGAGGGAGGGGCACCTCAAGGGGACTTCACAAAGACAGCTTGACTCGCAACTCAAACGAAAGAGGGGAGGAGGAGAAAGGCCGGAGCAGCTTCTGCCACAGCCAGGGAGGCGGGTTAGGGGGGCACACAGGCAAACAGAGGGCTGGTGTGCTGCTGGAACTGGAGCGTCATGGGAGGGAAGCGTGGGCTAATGGGACTGCTTGCGCCTTGGGAGGGAAGGGAGGGCAACTGGCAAGGACTGGGGCTGATGGGAGTGCTTGCGCCGTCGTGGGAGGGAAGGGAGGGCAAATGGCAAGGGCTGGGGCTGATGGGACTGCGTGCGCCGTCGTCGGAGGGAAGGGAGGGCAAATGGCAAGGGCTGGGGCTGATGGGACTGCGTGCGCCCTCGTGGGAGGGAAGGGAGGGCAAATGGCAAGGGCTGGGGATGATGGGACTGCGTGCGCCGTCGTGGGAGGGAAGGGAGGGCAAATGGCAAGGGCTGGGGCTGATGGGACTGCGTGCGCCGTCGTGGGAGGGAAGGGAGGGCAAATGGCAAGGGCTGGGGCTGATGGGACTGCGTGCGCCGTTGTGGGAGGGAAGGGAGGGCAAATGGCAAAGGCTGGGGCTGATGGGACTGCGTGCGCCGCCGTTGTGGGAGGGAAGGGAGGCAAATGGCATGGGCTTGGGGGTTGGAACTGTGACCCGTCGTGGGAGGGAAGGGTGGGTAGAAGCCACGCTGGCCTTGCTGTTTGCCTGTGTGCCCCCCTAACCCGCCTCCCTGGCTGTGGCAGAAGCTGCTCCGGCCTTTCTCCTCCTCCTCTCTTTCGTTTGAGTTGCGAGTCAAGCTGTCTTTGTGAAGTCCCCTTGAGGTGCCCCTCCCTCCCTCCCTCGTTCCCCAACACACTCTTGTCTGACTGCTCCCCCCAGTGGCCCCGGTGGTTGCTACTTCTGCTGCCAGTCCCCCTCCTTCCGATTCTGGGGTCAGAGCTGCAAGGCCCCAAAACATGCAGAGCAGCCACAGCACTTTAAAAAATCTTGCATCACAACTGCCCCCCCCAGCCCCTGGGATTGCTCATTGCACGCTGCCCCCGCAGCACCATGGCTCCTGCCTGCCACCCAGTTGGCTGTGGGCTATTTGTCCCATACAGACAAAGACCCAGGACAAACGGTATCTGGGTGAATTGGCCGGGCCGAAGGGCGACAGGCAGAGGGCCAAGGGCCCACTGGCCGTGGAGAATGGCTGCGGGAGGGCAGCGGAGGAGGAAAGCTGGCTGTAAATGGGCACGGGTGAGTTGATGGGCTGCATTTCTTGGGCAAAAGGCTGCACTGCTGCTGAGGCCATCCTGACTCAGAGGTGATGCCAAGGCACTCCTGACAGGGGTCTTCCAGCCCCTGAGTTACTATTCTGTGAAACTCACACTGAATGAGTAGGCAGCCAGACGCTCCCAGGCTCGTCCAGCCTCTGAGCACACACTCTGTGAGACCCACCCTGGGAGGGAGACCCTTTCAGTACCTGAGTGAGCAGCCAGGGCGAGTCACACTGGAGGAGTCAACAGCGCTCAACTACAAGCCTCCTCCGGTGCCCTAGCTGAGTCTCAAACTGGAAGGGAATCCTTTTGAATCGCTTCCCTCCCAACTTCATACCCTGAGAAATAATGTCAGCTGCAGCCAGATCTCTTGGAACCAAAAGTAAACCTGGTGACACACTTTAATACGAGGTATTGCCATCTCTACAAATTAATAACTAGTTTTTTGCTAGAGTGAAACATTATGTCCTCGAACTGGAAAATAAATCTGTGTGACCCTTTTAAATTCTAGATGTGGCCATTGAAACCGTGAGTAGATTTCTTGCCTGGCTTAATTTAGGCACGATGGTCGTTCTTAGAACCAGAAAGCATCTCAATGGCCCTTTTTAACGCTGGGTGTGCCGGTGATTGATAATAGATTTTATAGTTTTCTGCCTGGCATAAATTTAGCCACAGCCATAGTTCTTAGAACCAGACAGAAAACCTCAACCGCTCTTTTTAATGTCTGGTGTGGCCAGTGATTGATAAAAGATTTCTGTTTGGAATAATTTTATCCACGGCTGTTGTTTAAAATGTGTAAGTTATGTTTTGACTGATAAATATTAAACATGACACACAGTATGGCGGTCACCTCAAGAATTTTGATTTCTTTTGTCACACACATTTGTCTTTTTGTTCCTGAAATTTCTGTTTGACATTTATTTTTTGTAATACAACTCAGTTTTACTCCTGATTTACTGTTGTTAAGTAGTTGTGATGCTTATGGTAGACAAGTTTTATCTTTTACCTGTTTTTATGTATTCTTTCTTATCACCATCTCTTCACCAAGAGATACCTGTTGTGATATTTATGTATTTGAACACTGAAGTTGTGTTTTCTTTCTTCTGAGAAAAATCTTTTGATGACAACTATGGTTCCTTTTACACCTCACCTTTTGTCAAAAATGTCATTTTAAATTAGTGAACTATTTAACCCATGGTATTTTATCATTGCTTTTGTAATTTTTGTGTGACTTTTTATCCTTAAAATATTGGATTATGCTTTTATGTATTTTATCTGTAAGACTGTATTATGTTTTGAATTGTTGTACAAACTGTTGCAACTGGGTAACGCTTGGAAGATATGATGCAGAACAATAAAGTATTTTTCGAGTCTTCCTTCACTACATTTGGGATCCTGCAGCAGGAGCTTGGGCACGTTGTGCTCCTGCCCTTTGCCGAAATCACCGAGGATCATCTTTTGTAAGGATTTGGGGGTTTGGTATATTCAGAAATGTCCTGTTCTACCAAAATAAACTTCCAATGAAGTTTTTTGTGCTTTACATAACAGTTTAGGTTTCTCTCTCTCTCCCTCCCTCCCTCCCCCCTCTCTCTCCCTCTCTCTCATCCACAGGAGGGCAGGCTTTGCTGCTTTGACTAAACTCAGTTTTATAGGTGTTTGCTTATTATGTATATTCCTTTATCAAAGGTGTACTCCGAGTGCCCCTACGAGACAGGTTGGCAACCTGCGGCTCTGGAGCCACATATGGCTCTTTGTGGCTTATTAATATTAATAAGGTTTTAATAATAAAGAATAATAATCTTAAAACGCCATTAAAGAGGTTTATTTTTGTGGCTGCAGTATCTGATTTGACCAGTTAGCAGGGCTGGCTCAGGAATTCTGGGAGTTGAAGTCCACCAGTCATCAAAGAGCCAAGGTTGCCTACCCCTGCCTTAGCTATAGGATGGAGACCATTAAAAAAAGCCTACCATGGACTCCAAGCTAAAGCTATGGGATGGAAAATTGTGCCCTCCTGTGGTCAAAAACGGGCATTGCGGCCACCGAAAGAAAGAAACCTTTTAAATGGGATTTCCCCCCCCTTTCTTATTAACGCCTTATTAATATTAACAGGGCGATGGGAGGGCCTTTTGCTGCGACACAGGGGCAGAATAAGATAACCTAATATTAGTAATATGTAGGGAACCCTACACCATTCCAGACAAAGAGGGAAGGAAGGTGCCGTAGCTTCAGCCCAGTGCAGCAGCGCAACAGATCAGAAACGGCAACTGTGCTGCAGAGGTGGCCTTATCAACAAACTGGACTAAATGCTTCAGCCAGACTGGACAGTTGTCTCACAAATGCTTTTGGCAACTTCACCGCAATGCTGGGAGTGAAGGCTCTCATTCTGGATGTAGGCGCAGCCATGATCATCCAATATCCCGCATCAACTGGGGCTGAAGGCAGTTCTGTCTAGCCATCTAAGAATATCTGCTGTGCTGCAAAATGTAGAGATGATTTTGGCTGGGTAATTGTGGGGTTGAAGAAACTGACAAACCTTTACACTTCTTTTTAATCAGGATAGAATAAAGAGGAGCAACATTTGCATTAATTGCAGTACAACTTTTATTAATACTGAAATCTTCACAGTGCATTTGTTACCTGTAGCGGTGGCTATTTTGAATGAAAAAAAGATTACGTAACTAAATTGGAAGAAAGGGCGTATGTGGCGAAGCTCGGACTGCTAGAAGGAAAATAAATTATGGGATGGGAAGGAAGAACAAGTTAACAGCACCAGGACAGTTACATCAACTGAAGGACATTTTAGAAGGTTTGTTTCTCCTTGTACAAATCAAATGGGAAAAGCAAAAAGCAAGGATCTCACGGTCACATTTGAGGTGTGTGGAAACCACAGGAGGGCAGGCATGTTAAAACGAAAGTATTATCACACGAGGCAAAGAGTCGGGCCTGCAATGATGCGCACACACAGGTGGATGGAACTGGATGGGGAGGAAACAGCTATGTACAAGGTAAGCTTTCCTCTTGGGATGCTGCCCCCTCAAAGGCCTTTGGGGGGACAGGCTGCCTCTCCACTGCCAAGGAAGCCCCCAGCCCTTCTGGGCCCACTGCAGAACCTCTCCTGCCCCGAGCTCTTTACCCCTCAGAACAGGGCCTCAGAAGACTTCATGTTCTCCAGAGGTGTAAACTGGAAGTCCCAACACCAGGTTCGGAAAATCAGTGCCCTAAAATTTTCTACCCTACATGTCCTAGTTCTATGCTTAAATTTGATGTGTGCTTCTTGAAATAACTCAAGTTTTCTAAATGTACTTTTTTCCCTACTGGTGAACATACTGGAATCCTTAATTGATGCAACAGCAGCAAACATTCAGTTTCAATTTTGTTCTCTCCGCTTCGTGCTCATGTGTATCATATGTTGACCTCTGGATGCCCCCTGTACCACAGCATCAAATAGCTGCAACCAAAAACAGGAGAACGAGCAGAGTTGCAACCTGCAACCACACATGCAGCAATCTCCTTCCTAGCTCTGCCCAAGGCAAGGCAGCTTTTCTCAAAGCTTTTGTGTGTCTACGCCGTTCAGTTTCCACTCTTTTCCGTTCTCTCCAACCTTTCAAAACCATCTTCTCTTTCCTGCCATCACTTTCCTTTTGCCAACAGAGACTAATTTCTAGTTTCAGGGAGAAGTGAAGGTCACCAGGTCAGCACTTAGGAGAAGCAGATGCCTTCACATCTCTTTAGATCTGGATGCAGACCATGGAAAAGCTGCATCGCACATCAGCTGTGAATAAATGCATTATGGCTACGTTTGGCATCATTTCTGCCAACATTCCCATTAAAAATCTTCCTGTCAACTACAAAAATAGGCAGATTCCACATCTGTAAACAAAACTGGTCGGGACTATACAATGAGGCGAGCCTCTTTGATGCAACACGGTCTGGGGATGAAAGTGCAGAACTGTTTGATGAGACAAGAATGAACAATGTGGAAAGGTAACCGAGGCAGGACAGAGCCCAGGCATGGCTGCCACAAAAGTAGCCCAGGCGCAGGCAGAGGCCAAGGAGAGGCGCAATGAAATCTCACTCCAAGGCAGGTCAATGGCTCAGGCCACTGGGCGAAGCTGAGCAAGTCTGGGCCATGGCTCTCCTCGTAGCTTCCATCCTTGGCCGTCAAAACCATCCCACCGTGAAATTGCTGTAGGTTCCCAAAAGGAGAGAGAGGAGCCGTTTCCAGTCCCTCTTGTGTTTCGGCCATTCTCCCCTTCTCTGGTACAGCTTCAGCATCGCTTGTGCTCTTCCAAGGGAGCCAGGCCATGTGGCTCAGCCTTGTGGAAGAGGATTCTGAGTGCCATGGGTGGCCTTGCACATCATGTGGAGCTGAAATCAAGCCAAGACTGGCTTTGTGGAGCATGTGAACCCAGCCGGCACCAGCATGTCAAACCAAAGGCACCAGTCAGGGTGATCTGCCAGACCAATCGTAGTCGCAGAGCTGAGGGCTTTTCTCTGTTCAAACGATTCCCCCAAAGCATCAAGCAAAGGAGCATCTCCTGAACCCCTTTTTGTTTAGTTGATCAAGAGTCCAGATTGGTCTGAGAAGAGAGGTACCTGCCCAAGGGCAGCTACCCTGATGTTCCCTCAAACCAGCCTCCTTTACATCCCAGATCCAGGGGACCTGAGGCCTTTAGATGGCTTGAGGCAAGCACTGTGCTGAAGATGCCCCACCCTGGCATTGGTCCTTCACCAGAACTCTCCCCCTTCAAGAAAGGCCTGTGAAGCCCACTCCTGCTTGAGGCAGAATCCTCCCCACATCTGTACCTGGCCTGATCTCCACCCTCTTTTTCGACAGGCATTCTTGCATTCTGCCACAGAAAAGGCTCGGGGGAGTCAATGTGCCCATGTGCCTCCATGCAAATCGTGCTGTAAATCATGCCTCAAAGCACACTGCTTGCACTGCCTGCCCTGCCCCAGGGAGGCCTCTGGCCTCCGTGCAGCTCAAGCCAGACATGGGGACTGGATTGGGCAAGGAAGAGCCCCTTCTTAAGGAAATTAAGTCCTCTCCCTGAAACAGTCTCACCTGAGAGACCCCCTCAACTAGGAGCCCCTCCCAAGAGAAAGCCCTTCTCAAGGAAGCCCAGGAAGTGGTCCTGCTCCTCACATAGCCTGCAGTCCACATCTCGGGGAGGCACTGGATGTCTTTTGGAGGACGAGAAGACACAGAGAAGAACCAGAAAACAGAACAGGAGGGTTTTCTTTCCATGGGAAACGAGCTCTGTTTTGTGTGGTGCTCCAAGTTGGAGGGGTAGCAGGCGTCGGTTTTCCGGCTTGCTGTGGATGAAACCAAAAAGAAAGTGCGCAAGGGATGGAACAAGGTAGAAAACAAGCTCCAAAACGGTTATCAATAAGCGGGGGTCTTGTCTGTGGTTTAATAAAGGCATTTCATTTAGTCTCCTTTTACCCAGATCCTGACCAGGTGTCCGTGAAGGGCATGGCAGCCTTTGGGCAGTTTGCCCAGCCTCTGCCATGTTGCCCAGTCCTTTGCTGAGGCTGGGTGCCTTGTGCTCAGAAGGAGCTCAGGTCAACAGCTGGCCAGAGCAATCACAAAAACCGTGGCGCTGACCTATCGCTGGTGATGGTTCGACGAAGACGCACACCACGGCGGATGGCCACCAGCATGTCTTCAGTGGGGGGCTCGCTGGAAGCAGCCAGAGGAAGGTTGGGGGTCTGTTCTTCAGGACCAGGGTCTGAGTACACTGTGGGGACAGGGAACTGGCCATCTCCCAGGGCATGAGCGCTGGCCACCAGCTCGCCAATCTTTTCCACCAGGCTGTGGCGGTTGGCGGCCAGCTGCTGCTCCTCTTCTGTGGAAGGCTTCCCAGCCCCAGTGTACACTGAGATTTCCAGGGTGTTGCTGCCCCAGCTGGCATTGGGCAGGCTCAGCCTCTTGGGGGAGACTTTGGTGAAGTCCAGGCTGTGTGCCGAGCAGGCATCATCGGCATAGAAGACACATTCTTCACTGCCCATCCGGAGGGGGCCGGCGTGACTGGGCGAGTCAGGCACAGTGGGGGTCTTGACAGGGACAATGGGGGGCCTGATGGGAATCGGACCAGCACTGGAGACAGTTCGGCGAACTGTGGGCTTGGTGGAAGGTGTGCGACGGATGGTAGCCACGCCTGGCATGGTCCCAGTTGGCAAGGCAGTGCCAGTGGGCAGGCCGGCTGTTGAAGCTGGTCGCTTAGTCTGGATCATCCGGCGATAATTCTGAGCAATATTGCTGTTGCGAGGGATGGTTGAGGATTTGTCTAACTCGTTCTGGTTGTCTCCCTCCATATCCCCATTCACAGAATAGCAGTTGTACTCTGAACCTGAGGAAGTGACAGGTGGATGCATCAGAAGCAAGGACCGGCAAAGGACAGCGAGTAAGAGAAATGGCAGAAATGGGCCATTGTCTAGAATAGGCTTCAGTGCAAAACAAGGACGAGGCATGTGCGTGCGACACACACATAAGACCTCCCTAATTCCTAGGCGCATGGGTGAGGGGGAGTAAGCAGAGTCATTGTATGACTATGTCCAAAGTTAACATAAGTAATCTGAGCTTCTGTGGCATTAATTTCTGGAGGCCACACCCCTGCCAGCCGAACCCCCGAGTCAAAGCCACCCCTCATGCTTCAGCACAAAGCTGCCCAAGCACAGGTTACTACCTGAGACAAGACATATTGTAGGGGGTACATCGAGGGAGTCCTGACTCGGCCTGCACCCTATTAATCAAAGCTTGGAGTTCATTTAAAGCCCACCTGCCTGGTGCTTCTTTCCACTGCTGGGAGAAATGAAGAGCTGGGCAAGGCCTTCAGCCAGCAACAGGGGTTGCTTAGGACAGGTGCGCGACGGGTGGGGTGGGACTCCTGGGAAGGCCAAAGAAGGTCCTGCCTCGCCGAGAGCAGCTGCTTCTGCCCCTTGGCCTTTTGGAAGACCCTTCCCAACTCTGGACTTCCCCATCAAAGGAGGGTCCTGTTTTCTGGCTATGAGGGATCTGCCAGAGATGCCCAACCCTCCTCACCTGGATCCTCTCCAGTGGCTTGGAGAGCCCCTTAGCATGCCAGCCAGGCGCCCCCCCCCCCACCGAAGCCAGCCTCCTACCTTGAGAGGGAATGGCATCCTCTGAGCAGAATGGGGTGGTGGTCTGGGTGCTGTAGCCACTGGAGAATTGCAGGCTATCCCGGCTGCTTTTCTGGTGCTCCAGGCTCAGGCTGTGAGTCAGCACCATGGCCAGCTCACTGGCTGCTGGAGACACTTCCTCCCCGTGCTGCTGTGAGGGGAAAACAAGGTCAGGGCCCAGGCACTTAGGTAAGTAGGTAGGTAGGTAGAGGGAGAGATGATAGAGAGCAGCAGCAGCGCCCCACGCCCTCAGCTCTAAGCAGGGCTCCTGTGCTCAGGCTGGCAGGCCTCTGAGGCCAGGGCCAGGAATGGGGGTGGGTCCTCTCCTTGGTGTCAGCATCCCAAGGCCGCCTCACTGCTGCCAAGATAGTCCTGACTCTGGCTGCGCCCTGAGCACCTTGCTTAGGCAGCGGGGAGGAGGGGGCTACAATTAGCAAGGCTTCTGAGCTTAGACAGAGAGCCAGAAAGACAAACACAGTCCTCAGGACCCCCCCCCCCAGTTCCTTGGCTACTTCCGCATTGACTCACAGCTTCAGGAACACCTGCCAGGGCCAGAGGCTGCTGCATTCATTGGCTGCTTAAGCCTTCTGGGATCGTTTACCTGGGGACCAGGATCAAGCGTGGGGACCCTTTGCTCGGCCCCTCTTCTGCAGAGAGCCACCTGCCTTGACTCCACCTGGTGAGGGGGGCAGAGGCCTCATCCTTGGAAAATCCCTTTTCCAAACACTTTCAAAATTGGGCCCATTCAATTTAGTGCCCCCCCCCAACTGCCCCACCTTCTGCTTTGTCTACTGGAAGTGAACAATTTATTTTATTCCAATTATTCAAATACCCAGAAATAAAATCCGTTCCTGGTCTTCCACTTGGTCTGTCCTTGGAATCTGCCTGGATCTGGGATCGCAGGCTGGGCAGTGATGGCTCAGCAGAGATTTGGGCAGCGGCCCAAATGAAGCCCCAAATGAACCCCCAGACCAGCCGAGGTGGCCCAAGGGGGGCTTCCTGGGGTCTGGCCGTACCTTGGCAGCAATGGAGGCTGGGGACAGGCGAGGTCTAGGACCATCCTCCAAGCTGAGCCCCGGATAAATCAGGGGGGGCAAGCCTGGTTCTGCCTCCCGGAGAAGCTCCACCCGATCCTTTCTGCGTGGCAGAAGATTTGCCCCCGGCTGCTCGTAGAGGGGGAGCTTGGACCAATCCTGAAAAGCACAAAGCCGGCGTCACTGGCAATCCCAGCACTGCGAGACCAAGCCAGGCAAGAGAGGAGAGGCCCCCGGAGGCAGGGAAGGGGACAGGGCAATTCTTGAGCCTCGAGGGGCCCGTCTCACTCGGCCTGTGAGACGCCACCGAAGCACAAAGAGGCCACGTTGGCACCCACTGGCTTTACAGAAGTCAAGCATCCAGACCACTCTGCTGCGCTAGGGCCCTGGGTATCCCCTGGAGCAGCCGGTCAGATACTCTGGCCATTTCCACTAAGCAGAACGCTCCAAAACAGTTATCGATAAGTGGGGGTCTTGTGTATGAAGGCATTTCGTTTAGTCTCCTTTTAATCCAGATCCTAACCAGGTGTTTATGAAAGATATGGCAACCTTTTGGCAGTTTGCCCAGCCTCTGCCACATTGCCCAGTCCTTTCCTGAGGCCGCTTAATACTTAGGAAGGTGCCCTGAGCTTCTCAGGTCTTGGCCAAAGGACTGCAAGGAGGTCACAGGGCTGGATCTCAAGCTCCACAAAGATCTGCTAAGGGATGAGTTTCCTCTGCAGAGAGTGGAAGGCTGGAAGGAGGACCGAGGATTGAAAACAAAAGCAGCTCTAAAGATGGAGAGGCTGGAAAGGCCTCTGCACCCCTGCTGAGCTTGGGGGGTGGCAGCTGAGGGAGGAGAACTGGTCCATCCCAGGGCAGGGCAGGACTGCTCAAAGGGATCGAACTCCCAGCGGAGGGAAGTGCCCGCTGGGTCCTTGTGCCTGCAGGCCGGAGGGCAGGGACCGCATGCTCCCCACGGCAGGTGTTCTTTCCTGGCCCTCCTGCCTGGCTGCTACAAGCCGCTCACAGAGACAGAGCTTTGGTCTCTTGAACGTCACGGAAGCTCCTGGCAAGTGCAGAGTGGACGCCCCGCCAGCTGAGGCTGGCAAGGCTTCAGGGCCAAGGAGTCCAGGGTCACGGCTGGTCACAGAGCAGAAAGCAGCCAAACCAGCACTGGGGCAGGGGGCCAAGGCCGTGCGTCCGCCCTCCAAGAGCTTTGTGGCATGCACAAACTCTTCACCAGGTGCAGGTGGGCCCCAAAATAAAATGGGGGAGGGAAAGGGAGGGGGAACTCAAGCGACACCTTTTGGCCACCCGAACACAGTCCAGTGGCAGAGCCAGAACTAACCGAGGTTGGGGAGCTGCATTCACTAACAGATTGGCATGTTTCAGAGGCTTCGGACGATGCAGAGCTGGAGGACTTCTGGCACGCCCCAAGGCAGACCGGCGGCAGCAGCAAAACAGGCATGCACAGAAAGGAAGAGAAGAACCTGTTATAGAGGATGGTGGGGGCAACGGCAGCAGCAGAGACAGAGGGCAGCTTGACTGACATGCGGGGCAACAGCAGCAGCTTCCTTCCCCATGCCACCCTGGGACATTTCATCTGGGGCTGGACTGTCCCGAGGCTGGGAAGACAATGGAGGAGACGGGACAAGGCCCAGGCACAGGAGGAAATGAAAATGGCAGGCAGCTGGGAGAAAGGGGAGAAGCCTCCATGTCTTTGTCCCCCCTTCTGCCTGCGGTGACAGAGACCTCCTGAGAACTGGACTCTCCCTCCTCCTGACTTCCGGCTCCCGAACTGTAAGCAACCAGAGGGATCCTGAGAGCCCCCCGACGCCAGAAGACCCCCAGGTCGTTGTCCTCGTGCCAGGGCCACCTCTGGAGATCTGCTGCAGTCGTGCCAGCGTTGGCCTTTGAATTGGGCAAGGAAAGCCACAGAGGCCCTCTTCTTCTCCCAGTCCAAGAAGGGGCTCCCACTGGCAGCAGCTCCAAGGGGGCTCCAGCTCCCCCCAGGCTCAGAGTTCCTCGGGCTCCCTCACGGCTCACCTTCTTCCTCAAAAAGGAACGGGCCCAATCCTTTCCCGAGGGACACCCCGATGCAAAGGGACAGCCCTCCCTGTACAAATCAGACTCCAAGGGGGCTGGCCAAGGAAAGAAAATCCCGAATCGCTCCCAGGAGAGGAAGAGGTCCCTAGGCGGCCCCCAGCTTCTTTCAGGAGATGGCACCAGCCTACCTGGCTGGGGAGGGGGGTAGTCAACGGTACAAATGGGACCACGGTTCCTTCTGTCTGCACTTAGCTCACCTGGCTGGTGATGTCCGAGGGCATTGGCGAGGGAGGCTTGGAGAAGGTGGCGTCCTGCGAAATGAAGCCCGAGTCGTGTGACGAGACACTGGACAGGCGGGTGTTGGCATTTACCGGTTGTGCCACACTATGGGAATAAAATGTGAAACCAGGTGAGATGCTGGGCATCTAGGGAGCCCCCATGAGGCGAAGCAGGATGACATTGGTTGCAATGTCAGAAGTACCTTAGGCAAGGTAAGCCAAGTGTTCCTTTACATGCCTTGCTCATGCTGGCATTGTACCCCTGGGGGAGGGAAGCCTTCAAGAAGTCAGCTCTTCCTCTTCAGCTGGGATCAATAAATACGCTGAATCTTATGACAGGAGACTTATATATGTCCCAGTTTACACAAATACTCCAATGTATTTTAATTCTTTCCTCAGCTAAAGGCAGAAGCGCATTCAAGAATTTGGGGGTGAGATCAAGAGCAACATTCTTAAAGACTGGAGCAAAACTTTTCCCAGATACTTCCAGCTGACAGATATTACTTCACCGTCAATGACAAAAAGCTCCACCCTTTGCTGGACCTGACGGAGAGAGCTGCCATTGCTTGAGATCATTTGTCATATCCCGTTCGAGGCCAATGCTGGCCACAGCTGCCCATGTGTGGCTCCCTTTGATTTTATTGCAAGGCAACTCAGTTTGGGAAGTATTGGTACGTCACAAGGACTCTGGCCATCAAGACAAGGTTATAGCTGGGGTATTGCTGAACCTACTCAAGCTTTGCAAGATCTGAGCCCAGGAGGAGTCTGTTCCTGCTATACGCCATTTAACGGGGAAAAAGAGATTCCCATTAGCTGACCCAAACATACCTACACAAGCTGGATTTGCGGGACCCTGAGCTGCCAGGGGAAGATGGAGGGGTTTGGTAAGACCAGCTGTAATCAGAGCCCTTCAGATCTTTGATCACCTGCAAGAGAAAGTCGTTTGAGCCAGGTCCCTGTTGGGCTCCCTTTAGCGCTTAGCTCCAAGGAACAGGTGCCTCATCTGGAGTTGCTCTGGGGCCACCAGGCCCGGGCTGCCTGCAGAGCTGCCAGCAGGAATGAGTCTCTGCTGGGCCAGGAAGGGATCTGGCCACAACAAAGCGGAAGGCCTGTCCGCCTTCAACTGCTCCAGAGGAAACAGTTCAAGCAGGTGGCTGTGTGAAGCCATTGGGCCCGAGATCACTTTCATGAACTTCTCAGCCTTCCTGGATCCAGCTGCCCAGAATGCAATCTTTTGGAATTATTTTTCCTATCTTAACTTGCCTTTCGTGTTTGCTAATGGCTTAAACTATAAGATATAGAGAGCAATAACCCTCAGTATTCTGAGTTTCTTTGAACTGATTGAAGTCCCGAGGCAGGATTGTTACCCAGAATGGTGATACAGGTAGGCCTCAACTTATGACCATTTTATAATGATTTGAAGCTACGATGGCTTCTGAAAAAGCCATCATAACTTGAAGTTATGACCATCACACTGTCCCCGTGACCACACGATTACAATCTGGGCCCTTAACAACCAGCTCACATTTATGACGACTGCAGCATTCTGCGGTCATGTGATCACAATTTGCAACCTTCCAAGCATGCAAAGTCAGTGAGGGAAGTCCAATTCGCTTAACGGCCATGTGATTCACTTAATGACTGTGGTGAATCACTTAATAACTGGAGTAAAAAGGATTGCAAAATTGGGTCCAGTCACGTGATGACTTGATTAATGATCACATTGCTTAGCAACTGAAATTCCAGAGTCCTGGGCCTAAGACGGAGCCTTGTGGTACCCCACTGCTTACTTCTCTCCACGTGCATGTAGTACCATTGAGGACTATCCCTTGAGTACGGTTTGTCATGTAAGTACCAGGTAAGGTTGCCTCCACAGAAAGTTACTACTGAATGGATATCATCATCATCATCATCAATCATTGTAGGTCAGAAGAGCAGCTCCAGGCTTTTGTGCCCTGGTCACTTAATATGACCAGGCTCCCCTTTAAGAAAGCCAGGCAACCAGAAAAGCAACCAGAGGAAAAGGCAGTCAAGTGTGGACCTCTTATGGGAACTTTAGTTCTGAGAAAAAAGAGGGGGAAAGGGAGGGGGAAAGAAAACACCTGGCCGTATTTTAAATTCTTCAAGAGGTGCAAGCAGACCAGAACCTCTTCTCTGAGCGCAGAGTATGGAAGAGCACAGAGTTTCAAGTCACAGATTCTGATGAAAAGCAGTAGAATCAGAGCAGGGAGCTAGACTGGTGGGCCCAACCTCTTCCCTGGAAGCTGCAAGCCCTGCCTGGATCCCTGCGCTAAGAGGGAGGAAGGGGCTGGCCTCCAATGCCCCCTTCAGCTCGAGGCCATCCTGGGAATATGGTCCACCACATCACCTGGCGTTTGTGCTTTCCTACCTGCTCACTGGCTGTTGGCAGTTTATGTGGATCTGCTGTCAGCACCACTAGGTCATCAATGATGCTCTGAAGGTGGGTGATCTCTCCCAGCATGGTGATCTCTCCATTCTGCCAAGGGATAAAGGAAAGGATGAGCCCTTGGCCATGTGGAGAAAAGACCCTTGAATCAGGAGAGAACCAGCGCCCCCCCAACACCAGAGCTTGCTTTTTACTTGGGGAAGGCCAGGAGGAAAGGTCAAGGTGAGCCCCACTTTCACTGTCCCTGGGGCCAATGTGTCACCCAGTGTGCCCACTTCAGCTTCAGAATGCCAGAGAGAGATGGCAAGACTCTCATGAGAAGAAGGGAGCCTCTTTTTGGCAGAGGCAACAGTAGGTATGTATTGAGGTCGTGTATATTTCCCATGACACTTCAGCCCCAAGAAACCTCTCATCTGATCTGTAGACTTCCAAGCTTCTTCTCCATTTCCTGTTTGTTCCTTCTCTCCACTCTGTTACTACAGTTCAGTTGGTCCTCAACAGGCTATGCAAAAGCCACAAAGGGCTGGATCTGCCAGTTGAGGTTTTGTGTAATTTCAGAAATGTAACTCAGGTTAATCTATATGAAACCTGCTGGGATTATAGTTACATTACTAAAATTGAATTAAAAAAATCATTCCAGGCAAACTTTCTTCCCTATAGTCCAAAGAAAATCTTTTTAAAATTCAGAATCAAGAACAGTAAACAAAAAGAGCAATTTGGGAATTTGTATATGTGATCTTATGGAGAACCACAAACATTCAAACCTTCAAAAAAGCTTAATGAAAAACGAGAACGGGGTTGACACCAAATTTGGCAGCAGGTGCCAATATTGTTACGATAAGTTACTGCAAGTGGGTTGCCAAGCACCAAAGCTACAGAACTCTCCGGCCTCATCTGCTCGGGCCAAGTGAAGCGTCAGCTGGGAGGAGAGGAGCCACAAGTCAAATTCTCTACTCAGAATTCTTTGGCAAGCGATCGATCGTATGTTTGCAGTATCCTTCCTCAGTAGCATCCTGGATTTCTAGGACTTTCCTTCCTCCTGAAGCGCCTCTGCTCCTCTATGGGATGGGAAAGGTCAGCCCAACCCTTTGACTTGCTAGCCCCAGAGCCCGGGGCCCGAGACAGCTCCCTGGGATGACTTCTGAGGAGACTGGCGCATTTATGGAGGAGGGGTCTACCAAAGCCTCTGTCTTATCTCTGGAGGGAGGGAGGGCAGCTGGTCTCACAGCGATGCAAGAACAACAGTGGAAGGGAGGCTGCTGTTGGGTCCCATCGACGGGCAGCCTGGCTGGATTCCATGAGAAAGGAAATGCTGGGCTGACCAGCAGGACTTTCTAGGAGGTCAGAGGATGATGGGAAAAGGATGGAGTACTGGGGCCACACCAGCAGCTCCTGGGGGTGACAGAGACAGGCCATTTTGTTTTTAATCTGGAACTCGGGGGAGGGGGCTGCTGCTCCCACCACACAGCCAGACACAGTGCCCCCCTCAGTGCCCCAAAGGCCACCTGAACTGCATTGAGTAAGGGATCTACCTAAGGCCTCCTAAAATTTGTCCTGGCCCATCCCGGCGTTTCCGTGTGGGGAATGGAACTGCACGGGAGGAGGGTTGCCCACCCACACCCAGCTCCCTCATGCAACCCTCCTCCCCCTTGTGGGCACAGTCTGTTTAGTTTACTGCCACCAGGCACCCCTTTGCCCTGGAAATCCCTCTTGAGAAGAAGGGTGAGGAGGGAGCATCTTCCAGACAAGAATTAATATTTATCCCAATATTCATAGGATTAAAAAAAAATCAGACAAAGGAGTTGAAGAAAAAGCTGAGATAAATTCTTAATTGGAATTTTCAATAAACATCCTACTTCGTCTCTAATTCCGCAGATGCCACTCTTGGATGAACCAAGGGCCAGTCTAGGAAAGCCTCCTTCTCCTCCACCTCAACTCCCACCCCAGACCCTCAGGGTTGGGTGGGGTAGCATCTGGTATCCAAGCACCTGAGAGGTGACCTTCCTTTTCATCACATCCAGATTGTCCAGATTCTGGATACAAAGTTTGGCACTCACCAGCATTCCTGGGAGTAGCTCAATAGAATGCCCTGGACATACGTTCCCTTTAGTGCAAGAGCTTCCACCTTACTTGCCTGAAAGCAGGATACGGGACTAATCTGAGGGCAGGCACCAGCAGAACTAAACCGATAACGGCATTATAATTGGGCAACAAAAGCCAATTGTTCACATGCTTAAAAATCAAGATCTGCCTGAACAAAGGGTGGGGAATCCCTTGGACCGCTGTCAGTTGCCCAGTCCCTAGAAGAGCTGCGTCTGACCATGGAAACAAGGGACCTACCACCACCGGCTGCAGATATGCGATGAAGGTGCAGAACCGTCCCCGTTCCTCCACCAGGGCCTTGCAGACCGCTTGCTTCTCTGTCTCCTCCAGGAGGAGATACAGGTCGTTCACATCCTGCAGGGCATTGTCCAGCTGAGGCTGCAGGTCCCCCTTGCCTATAAACAACAGCAGATGAGAGCCTCGTGGCTTCTCTACCCAAACCCTGGGCCACGGGTGTCCTTGGGCGTAGCTCTGGCTTCCCGCAGGTGTCATGCTGGGACAAAACCTGCTACACACTACATCAAACAAGCTGCACCAGGCCTACTTCTGCAGCTGAAGGTCTCTAGAATTAAACGATTGGGAGTCAAATGGCATATTACTATTACTATTCATAATAATAAAAACAATGCAGCACGTAGACAGGAGGCAAGATCAGAGTGGGATATGAAATGTATGGAGTGCATATAGGAGAAGAAACAGGCATTTCTAAAGATATAAACTCAACCTGTGTTCTGTTATTCACACATAGAACTATTCATATAAGTTCCCAAATAATTTACTGTGTTCATATAAATCTAAATCAGGGAAAAGAAAACACAATAACTGAGTCCCATGACATGCTAAAGCCTTCCAAAAAAACGTAATGGCTTAATATGATGGCTTATTTCAGAGAATACCCTAAGAAAATCACTTGTTCCCACACACTGACCCACTGCTGGTCAAACTCATTAGATGAATCTTGCAAAGCTTGTCCACTGTCTTGCCAAAAAAATGCCAACTTACAAAATCTTATGGGAAATCTGGTCTGCTCCAGTCCTCAGAGCAACGCCGTATGTGGCATCTGCTGGTTGTAAAAGGTTATGGCTCCATTTCAGGAAAAAAAGGAAGCTCCATTTACTGACAGGTGCCTGCTAACGCTCACTAAAATGTTGCCCAGTAATAATATATTCCAATATGGCTTGACCATTCAGGTCAACCTTCTGCTTGGTGCCAACAAGAGCATGTAGCAAACAAGAGCACGTAGCTCCTCTGCCATCTAATTTCTCAGCACTCCACAACAGGTCCTCCATCTGGCTGGCAGACCTTCGGCCACGAAAGCAGGGCAGAATGATCTGGTGATCAAGTATTTTCCAAAAGAGGAGGAGGTTCGGAGGACGCCGGCCTCCATCTTAAAGCTCTTCCAGAAAACATGCAATAATTCCACATAAGAAAGGGTTCGAGGCACAATGCCCTGCAGGGCTGCTCTCTTACAACTTCCAAACACCCGAAGGTGTTCAGTCGGGTCTCTTAAGGGGCGCCTTTCCTTTCCCAAACTCCATCCTTTGGGCTGAGGCTGGAATGATTCTGCTCGAGTGCAGAACGCGTTTGCCTTCATCGGCTTTCCAAGCTGTTTGGCGCTCTGAGCCCCCCAAGATGGAGTTTGGCCTCCTCCTTGATGGAGATCCCTTTGGTCCCTTCCTCAGGCAGTGGGCACTGTCACCCACCCATCCCTTTGGGTTCTGGACTAAAAGGGAGAATGAGCAGCAGGGCAGAGAGAGACTGGCCTTACTTCACCCCAGGGAGGCCAGATAAAAGGGTGGCACTCCAAAATGCAGAAGAGCAGAGTTGGTCGGGTCTTCTAGAGTAGCCTCTCCACCCACACCCACACCCCGTGTGGTCAGGGGGAATACATTGCTGTGGGGCCCAGCTCCCACATGGCCTCTTAATACAGAATCACTGTGTGTGTGTGTGTGTGTGTGTGTGTGTGTGTGTGTGTGTGTGTGTGTGTGTGTGTCTTTCTCCCCACTTACAGCACAAGAGCCAGGCACAATATTCGCTGGGCTCCCACCTGGTCACAGCAAGAGGGGTAGGTGGATCCTATTCCCTTTCAAACAGGCTTCCCGCCACAACTGCCAGCAGCCCACATGCATGGATGGCGAGGGGGGGAGCCACCCCCATGAGAAGAATCAGGGAAGTCTGGAAACAGCCAAGGATTTGGGGAGCCAAGGCTGAGATCCTGCTTGGCAGCAAAAATACTGAGGTAAACAGGCCATTTCACACAGAAATAATTTTGTCAGCCAAGTTCAAACCGACACAGAGGTGGGCTGAGTAAATAGCTGGAAGTTAGCTAATTTGTTTCGCCCTTTCAGAAGGATGAAAGGTGCCCTTTTGAAAATGGAGATCTGAGCACGTATCACAGCTTGGCCCATTCTGCTTTCACCGGTACTCTTGGGGATCCCAGAAGGTGGATCTCAGCATTGGTCCCACTGCTGAAATCCCAAGAGAGGAGAGCTGGACCAGGGAGGAGGAGGAGGAGGAGGAGGAGGAGAGGGGCTGGTGAGGATTTTGCACAGGCCCGAAATGAAACCCAGCCTGGATCCTTTATTATATGTTTCTTAATATTAGTAAGACTGGTACTATCTCGTACCAACAGGGAAAGACCCAGAATAACAAGCTTGAGGAACAAGGAGGCAGATTTCAATTTAAAGTTTACCATGTAAGTGGCCTTGAGTTGCGATGAATTACGGCAATACAGAAATGTTCTAATCTGCCTATGTACGGTTTAAAAATTCCTGATGAAAACAAGCTGGACTATGGAACCAATGACCTAGAGAACTGGCGGGCTTTTCTTCGCAGGCTAGAGATCTAACGGTCAGGAAGTTTGGATTTCTGGGCTCAGTCTCGTGTCTGGCTTGATGGCCCCTTTGACCTACAGGGTCCTATAATGCTGCATTTAGGTCAATGAAGTGCGTGTGCACACTAGATTTGCCAGCAGGGCAGAAAAGAAGGTTGGGAAGCAATTTATACAAGTTGTCAATGTGGGGATCTTGAAGCCAGCTCTCCCTTCTCGATGTGGCCCTCTACAATATAAGATCAGAGCTAACCTAACACAATGATGGCTTCATCAGGCTTCCTGAGATGGGTTGTGGTAATCCCTGGAGCAAGGGGAAGGCAAGGGCTTCCCTCAGAAGGAGAACCAAGTTGGAACTGCAGTCAGGTCTGTGAACCTCAAGGGATCCAGCTATGGTGGTGGCCCCTCATTTGAGGCTTCGTTCCATTTCAGGCCCAGCTGGGTGGGATGGTGAAAGAGGAGATCCCAAAGCAAAGGCCAGGAAGGAGGGAGGGAGGAAGCTGGGTTGGCAATATTTGACTTACCAAGAAGCTCTACAGAGGAATGTGGGAAGGGAAAAAAAAAGGAGAGAGAAAGAATGTGTGAAAAAAGGCAGGTATCCAAACCACTTTGCCTCTTACAAAACAAACGCTTTCCCCCAGTGAGGCACCCACATTACTGCAAACTGCCCCTTCCCCTCTCAGCGATTACCGTAGCTTTTCAATCACATCTGGAATGAACATGAGATTCCCCTGAGCAGAGGACCCTGCAGGATGGCAGAGCGAAATTGGAGAATGTGCCAAAGAACCACCCTGAGCACATTTCAGGTCCCAGACAATCTTCAAAGGAGCTTCCTTCCCCCCCCCCAAAAAAGTAGTAGATGCAGAACTTCTGGAAACATCTGCTCCTTTCCATGCCAGTCCAGGGAAAGCCAATGGAGAGGTGCTCAGATGCTGCTTCCTCTCCTTGGCTTGCAGCCCTCCTGCCGGCTGGGTCTCGATAGCTTCAAATCCTCTGGCCAGGAAGGCTCAGGCCAAGGATAGACACGGGAAGAGGGAAGGTGGCTTCCAGGTGTCACCGTCAAGCGTCTTTCTGACATTCTAGATGTGAGCTGCCATCCAGGCCTTCTAGTTTTCAAGCCTTGAGAGCAGCAGCAGCTGAAATCTCTCAAGGATGCAAGTTCCAACTAATGCTGCACTTTTCCTGTCCTGAGGGGAAGCACATTCAGCTCTACCAGCACCACCACCGTCCCCGCCTGGCCGCTCTCCCTGCACATCATCTCTTCCATGGAGATGCCAAACAGCTTCTCTTCACTCCCTCAGTACCGCCCAATGTTCCTTCAACACCCTCACATCCTCACCTTTGCGTGCTTTCTTCTGAAGTTTCAGTGTGTCAGAAGACTTCTTCTTTATCTCATGACGGGCTCGTTTGTACTCTGAAGAGGCAGGAAAGAGGCCACCGTAAAGCTCCTACCTCAGCTGCTGTCTCCCCTGTGTGGCCAACAAGCGGGTCCCCAGGCCACAGCCATAGGCTTTCCTCGGGGCGGAAGACAAGCACCGAGGGCCACAGCCCACAACTTTCTCCCAGTCACCCCAGATGCCCACGCGCCCTGCCAGCCTCCTTTCCTGCGTGGCCTGAGCCCCTGGCTCCACAGGACAGCTCTACCTTTCGCATGGTCCTTGTCAAGCTGGTTGGCGGTCTTCTTCCAGTCCTCTATCCTCTCCTGTAGGGGGTTGATCAGGCTCTCCATGAGGGCGCTGCAGCCACAGAGAAAGGAACAGGCGAGCCTCAGAGAGGTGGCTTCCCCTGGCCAGGGCCAAGAAGAGCAGCAGAGCAGCTACCCCTTTTCTTGAAGCAGCCCCAGGAGGAGGGGAATGAGGAAACCTCCAGCCAGTGAAAGTCACCTTTCTCTTCTTTTGCCCTAAACCAGTGGTTCTCAACCTTTTTAATGCCATGACCCCCAACCGGTCGTAAGTCGAGGACTACTCAACCGGTCGTAAGTCGAGGACTACTCAACTGGTGCAGCACCGTTTGCAGAATGGGACTTTTGGCGGGCTCAGCAGGGCAGAGACAGCCTGGACAATTCCTATTGGCTTTTGAAAGCCAATAGAATTAGACTCTATTCAAGAGAGTCTATTCTATTGGCTTTCAAAAGCCAATAGAATAAAAGGGAGTAGCACAGCTAAGGAAAAGGGGAAGAAAATGGCGGACTGTTTTGTTTGGCGACCCCCGTGAAATGGTCATTCGACCCCAAATGGGGTCCCGACCCACAGGTTGAGAACCACTGACCTAAACAAAGCGGGCCTGGAAATGGGTTCCCTCTTGAACAACACCCAGGCTGTGTATACGTGTGTGTGCGTGTGCATGTAAAATGCTGCCATGCCAAGTGGCACCTTCTAGAACCAAGCAGAACCTCAATACCCTTCATCCCCAGTCCCTCCTGTTTCCACTGGGCATGAAGTCCTTCTGGGCCCAGGTCTAAAGGGAAGGGCACGGAATGAGCCCAGTGAAGGCTTTCCTGAGCAGAGAGCCAGCATGCCCTGCCTTTCTGATCCGGACTGCAGCAGAAGACCCACTGCTCACTGACATGCCAGCCAGGCTTCTGAGCAGTCCAGTGGATCTCCCTAACTCCACAGGTTGCAGGTTTTGCAGTTACCTCTGCTCTGCATGTCAGAAAAATGCCCAGGAGTTCCATCGCCAGGGGAAGGGGGACAGGGAGATTACACATTTTAGACCTGCCTGGGGTACAGGAAGGGCCCCCTGGCCTGGGGGAATTGGCCACAGAGCAGCAGGAGCAAGACTGGCCCAGGAAGAGGCCTTCCTTCAGTTCCCCCCCAAAGTCCACTGGTCCCCCTTTCTGAGAAGAAAGGTCTCTGACCCTGGAAATGCAACTGAACTGCACAAGAGAGTCAGCACACTTACTTGGTGAAGTGCCTCAGCTTGGTCTCGATGCTGCGGTGGCGCATGCACATCCGGGTCAGTGCTGAGCCGATATCCCTTGTGGCTCCTGGAGAGAAAAGGGACTCCCTTGTGATTAACTGGCAAAGGCCAGGAACAAAAGATGGGTGGGTGGGTGGGTCTGCATCTTTCCCCACTGGGGAAAAAAACCTGACGAGACCAAGATGGACCATCAAAGCCATCACTGAAGTCAGCCCACCCTGGGCATCCTGGAGGGCATGGTCCAAAGGCCTCCGCGAGAGGCAGGCTGGAGAACTCAACCAAGACCAAGCATCGGTTAAGAATCACAATCTTCTCTGGCAGCGGCATAATGGAACAGCTGCCATTTTACCTTCAAGGATTTTTTGTTCTCTGATCAATTCCACAACCCAAACCTACCCAGACCTATCTGGTTAATGCTATAACCCCCCCTGCCCCCCCCCACACACCAAGGGAAAACAGCCAGCTGGAAGTCCTCTCCTTGCGGCAGTAGCAGCAGAGTCCTGCCATGAGGAGGCACAAGGGCCAGAAAGAATGAGATGGAAGGAAGCCCCCCTGCCGCCGGATGCTGGCTCAGGCGTCCCTGCAGGAGACCTCGTGCCCGCCTGTTGCAAAGCCCAGCAGAGTCTGGCTCTGCAAAACCTCCAGCTCCATCATTGCTCTGGTCCCATGCTCACATTCTAATTCGCTTTACCTCACTGAGGCAACCTCCCAATGGACAAATCAGCCAGCAGAGCTTGACGCCCTCAGTGGAGGTTGGGCTGTGTAGAGGCCTCCTCTAGCTAGGGGACTGGACTAAACCATCTGGGAAGCCCTTCCAGCCCCCCACGCACCCAGATGTTATGAATTCCTCCATATGAAACTTTACCCACTTAGAATGTCCTCGCCTGCCCAGACCCCCGGGAGCTCCTCATATACAAGAGGGGGATTTGGGGGTCAAACTGAGGGAGAAACAGAGTTGGCCAAAAGGGGTTGGAGAATGTGGGAGGAATCAAGCCTCTGCTCAGTGGGCATCTATCTCCAGGCTGACTGGAGGATTTCAGAGGTTACCCTTCTCCCCCCAGTAACAGGATAACAGATCCAAGGGGCATCTTGGGAGGGGCTTCTCTGGGCCTTTCCTCCCACCCCCTGCACAAAGCCCACAACCGCCCACCTTCCCTCAAGCGACCTAACATGGCCCTCACCCTGAGACCTGCTCCCTCCATGCTTTCTAGGCTATCTGAAGGGTCTCCTGCAGGAGTTCAAGATGAAAGTAGCACGATTGCCCACCTACCCTGCTACCTCTCTAGCTCTTTGGTGAAGTCAAAATCCCCCTCCCCAGAAGTGCAGCCAGCTCTTCTTGGGGGTTGCTTTTCCTCCCCACCTCTCTGGCCCTCTCCTCCAAAGGGCTGCAACCCTCCCAGCCCATCTCCTAGATACCCTGGCAGGGAAGCCCACCAAAACTGGACACAGTTATTAAATAGGCACTCACTCGCCGCCAGTTTGGCTATAACTATGATTTTAAAAAACTGGGTATTAAAGGCAACATAGCCAGGGATATAAGAGAAATTAACCTCACCCCTCCCGCTTTAAGGATCTTCCTCTTGATGACACCATGGCTTTTTAAAAGGACCCCTGGCTTCAATCTCCTTTCTGGCTGAGGCCAGATGAATGCACAGAAACACAGACCCACTGTGCCTGTTCAGAGCATCCTGCTTTACACACACAATATGTTCATTGGTGCAAGATATCTGTGCTTGGGGAGGGAAGGGACCAATCCCGCAGCAGAAATCCACTCTCTGCAGCATCAGCAGAGCCCTGACTAGGAACCTAGAGACATCGATGCTCCTCGGAGAGAGTTATTGCATCCAATTCCTCATCCCTAGCCAATCTGCAATTCATACTGAAATTCACCAGAAATCAACTCTTTCTGAGCATGCCACTTCTCTCCATTCTGAGGCTTCAAACAGGAAAAAAAATGCTCTGAAAATTTCATTTTTCAGGCTGAAACCTCTCCAGGAACCAAAGCACCAGACCAAAAATAAGAACAGAACTATGTGCACTTCTCACACTGGGAATCCAATCCACACAATGGAAGGACCAACCGTGGATCATGCCAGTCTGAGAGTGAGGGGGGCCTTGGGGGCCTCAGGTAAGAGCCCCAATTAAAGCCATGTAGGGAGGCAGCCGCTAGCTCCATCCTTGGAAGACGACCAAGTCCACGGATAGTGCCAGAAGGAGAGTGATTCCCAGAACTGGGCCCAGCTGGGGTTGGATTAACAAAACTCCCCCTCCAAGCCCATTTTGCCTCCCCAAAGCTCCACACATCGCCTTACCTCTGGTGTTGGTGGCCATGTCTGCCACTCTCTGAAAGGCCTCCAGGAAAGCCACTGCAGCCAATATGGTGGTCCTAGGAAGAAAGGGGCTCAGGTCAAGAGGGGAGCCTTTGCAGGACAAGAGAGGGGGAGCTGCAGGGAATGAGGAAGGCAACCTTGGCAGAGATGGACAGCAGCTCTTTCCTGGGCAAACGGGGCTGAAGCTTTCTGAAGCAGGGAAATAACCATCAGAAGGGGCTCAGCTACACCCTTCCCTAATTGTCTGGGGCAGAAGAAGGGAAAGGAGGCACCACAAAATAAGACTTGTGAAATTGTTTTATTATAGCCAATCTCAATTTTATTGAATTTGAGATTTAGACTACCTGCCAAGTTGATTTCCTGGTTGGGCTCATTTCTCTCACCAGCCCAAACACCCACTGACCTGCCTTCAGCCAGACTCTCCCTGGTAAAAAAAATAAAATATGCTTGCTGGCTAGGAAAGAAACTCTACATCCAAAGTGTGCAGAACTTCAGCACGGCACAAACCAGGACAATATACAATCAGGTCAAGTGAAACAAGAAGACGTGGCTTATCGCAAAAGGGCTTTCCCCACAGTGAAGCTCTTCTTCTCAGGGCTCCTCTCCTTTCTCTACGGCAGTGTTTCCCAAACCTGACAATTTTAAGGCATGAGGACTTCAACTCCCAGAATTCCACAGCCAGCAATGCTGGCTTTGGAATTCTGGGAGTTGAAGTCCACATGCCTTAAAATTGTCAAGTTTGGGAAACACTGCTCTACGGTGCCAGGGGACCCCGGGGGCAAACCTAGGCGACTCTGGCTATTGAGACTTTCCAGGCCAAAGCATCAACTTGTGCTGAGCTGCAACTGAGATGGGTATCACCCACACACTAATGACCCCTTAGCCAATCAAGCCCAGTGTTTTTAGATGGGTGTATGAAAATATGGAATTATGAAACACCACCTAAATTCCCAAGTTCTTGCACTTCCATCCCTGTCTTCAATATGTGTATCTGAAAGAGATAATTCACCAGAACCTCTTCTGCAGACATAGTCCTGGCAGGCCACACCCCTTACCAGCAGAGGTTTCTATTTAGCATGCATTGTTTCTATTGTTTTCTTCACTGTGAAGCCGCTCTAGTGCAGGGACCCATGGGAGGAGGCAGCACTCGGAGCAACCAATGATATCATCCCAAAGGATGCAGCGGCTTTAATGCTTCGATGAGAGGTGCCTTCCCCCCCCCCCGCACTAAGTATCTTTTTTGAAAGCTATGCACAGACTTAGCAGAAAAACACCTGTTTCTTCTTGTTACTTTCTTAGGATGTCAAAGTAGCCAAATGCACATTGTTGGCTTTGAGGGGAAGTTTGTTACAAGCTCCTTCTTAACATTCTCTGCCAAACTGCAGTCCAAACTCCAGTTAGTTCTTTGTTCACTTTTCTGTTTCCTGGAAACTAGCTACTTTATATTCTTCCCTACAACAGCCTCTGCTTGCTCTGTGAAAAGCACTCACAGAACGGCTCTGAGGACACATCCCTTGTGTTCAAGACATCACCCTCAAAATGTACAGATTTTCTGATAAATTTCTTCTCTTCCTTACTTCTTCCTCCTGACAGCCAAACGCGTCAGCAGATGCAGCGTGGAAGGCAACCTTGTGGCATTCCATAATGCAATTTATTTATTTATTTATGAGATTTATATACTGCTTGGACTAAAATGATAATCTGCCAAAGCCACCCACTACTAACAACTCAAGAGATAAAATCTGAACCTGCTCAGAAAATGAAAGAAGTGTAAACAGAAGTAAAATGTTTCGTATGTTTTAGTCTCCAGGCCTTTGATCATCTTAGTTGCTCTTCTCTGAATTTTTTCCAAACTCTTTTTTATGATATAATGACCAAATTGGCTGCAGTATTCCAGGTGTGGCCTTACTAGGGTTTTATAAAGCGGTAATAATACTTCGTGTGATCTTGTTTCTATGCCTCTGTTTATACAACCCAGGAAGGGCTACCCTTCCCTGGTCCTCCTCCTTTGAGGCAGCCCGGCTGCACCGGCCCCATTAAGGCAGTGGCCTCGTCTCTGGCTCAGCCAGCTTGCACCTGTGGTGACCCTTCAATTCTCACTATTAAACAATGTATTCTTAGCTAAGACCCAGTATTCAAGGCTATCGAGACCCTTCCCAGCCTTGAGCTGCTTCCTGATGGATTAGCAAGCTCTCTCTCCCTACCACCACCACCCTCTGTGCCATCTGCACATTTTCTGAGCATGCCTTGTGTTTCTTCATCTGGGTCAAAGATGCCTATTGGGGATTCCTATGCAAGGAGAGAGATTTAGGGTTAGAAAAAGGGGGATGGAGGAAGCCCCCAAACTGCAGGGAGGCACATTTTGAGGGGGCTACTCAGCCTGCACCCCTGTGCCAGTGTTAGCAAAGACACAGAGGGTGCTGCAGAAGTCATTAAATTTAATTAAAACATTTAATCTCCCCTTTCACTTAAAGAGCAGCGTGATGCCTGGGGCTACCCCAGAAGCCGCGTGCCTGACTTCTCCTTCCTGGCCATGCTGGGAGAGTCCCCAGAATTCCTTGGTTGTTTTAAAATAACATTTATTGAATTTATGTTTAGAAAAGAAAGCTACTGTGAGAGGATTGTTATCCAGATGGGCAGGATATAAACAAGTCCAGCCAATAAAACCATCAAGAAAATGGGTCTAACCCCCACCTCCACTTGGCCCAGTCTGGGATGAGGAGGAGGATGCAAGGCCATCAACAGAGACAATCCAGGACTTGCATGGGGATTTAGCTTTGATAAAAGATGTTCAAAATTTAAAATTGTAAGAGGAATTAGCTGTAAGAGGAAGTAGCTGCAAGAGGAAGTAGCTGAATGACAAAACCGAATTGAAAAACAGGAAAACTAAAACTGGACTGAATAGCAGGAAAACCAGCTGAATGGAAAAACAGGAAAGAACCTATTGTTCTATCAAGGCATAAAACATCCCAGAACTCAAAAACAAACAGAACATGCTCAATATTCTACTGAATATTATTTGACACATCTTGCATATATTATCTTTTAACTTAAATGCACACAGATGTATGATTTAGTATCTAGCAGGAAATATGTAGAAGGCAGTCAGAGAGAATGTAACCTCATAGTACCTCAGCCAATGGGGAACAAGGAGGGATGGGCAGACGGTGCCAGGAATGTATAAAGATGTTGATTTGAGATGATGAACTTTGGAGAGAACCAAGCTTTGATAGCTTCTCTCCCTGCTTATTGCAATAAACAAAACAAGGTGGTCTTGGCTGGCTATAGGTCGGGCGAACTTGCCACTGGTTGCGAAGGAGCACATAACAACCTCACATCCAGTATAGAAAGACTGTGAGAGTCTGCTTGAGACATTTCTGGGTGCTGCCACTGGAACTGCAACTGCAAATCTTCAGCAAGGTAAAGAACACATTCCATCCTGAAAAATCTGCACCTAACACACACCGCCCCCAGTTCTCCAGAAGCATCAACAAGGGTGTGTGTGTCAGAGTGACTTGCTAATCTTAATCTACTTGGACTTTTTGACAAGCCCCACACCAAAACCTCCGTGCACGTTTAACAGACACCTTGACTGGGCCTGAGATGCTCAGCCGGCTGGGAGCCATTGGCAGAAATTCAGAATCCAAAGGTCCTGCATATCGTGTACTGTTTGCAAAAACAACCTCCCACAGTCCAGCTCCCGAACAGCCTTCTAAATCAGGGCTTTTCAACCAGTGGTACGGGTACCACCTGTGGTACATTGGCACCTGGTAGCGGGGGAGGGGAATGAGCTGAACCAGTGGCAGCACCGCACAAGTCTGAGCGAGAGATGGCTGGAGCTGCAGGGCTGTCAGGGCTCAGTGGAAGCGCCAGGATAAGTGCCAGGCTCCAGCCGGAGCTCAGCGCTGATCCTGGTGCTTCTGCTGAGCCCAGAAGAAGCAACAATCAGCTGGAATGTTGCAGCATCTCCAGGGTCTTGTGATTTACATTCAGATGCTTGGCAACTGATTCATATTTATGACGGTCACAGTGTCCCAGAGTCATGTGAAGTGACTAAAACCTGCTGCAACCACCCAGCAGATGGGGGGAATAAAAACCAAACACCCCACCACCCCGCCAATCCTCAACAGAAATGCTCACAACAATGAAAACCTCGGACAGAAGGAAGAGCGCCACCGGGCGGGCGGGCATCTTGCTCGGCTGTGGCTTGGGGGGCACTTTTTTCAGTGTCGTAGTAACTTTGAACAGTCACTAAGCGAACTGTTGTAAGTCGAGGACTACCTGTACTTTATCACTTTTTTCCTTTTTTTTTTTAGGTCATCAAGTTTTTGACACCTTGCTAGGCGACTGGTGGTACTCGGATATTGCCATATCCTAAAAGTGGCACAATGGATGAAAAGGTTGAAAAGCCCTGTTCTAAATAACCAGCCCACTATACCACAGCAACAAGCACCAAAATAAAGCACAAGAGGCACAAAGACCACAATGGCTTCTTCAAAAAAGGAGCAATTCGCTTCCCTGGGGTGGGACTGGCAGCTGCTCTGTAGGAGAACTCACCGCAACTGTGAGTGGAGCTTCGTGGCTTTCGAGTTGAAATCTTCCCAGACTGGGTAGGAGCTCTAGAAGATAAGAAGAAAAAGAGGTTGAGCAGCACTTCTCTCTTCCTTGGGTAACAGCAGAGACGCATAAAGTGCGTGGGAGGGGGGGAGGCTGCTCCTTTCCCTGAGGTGGTAGAAGAGCCCCACTGGAGCCAACTCCTTCCCCCAAATCAGAAGCCCCCCCCCCAGGCTCTGCCCTGCCCCAGCCCTGCTCAGAGCAAAATGGTCGTGCCACTTTGGTACCTCTGGCCATGCCAGGTGTGGTCCAATCAGTTTGTAAGGTAAAGCATGGAATCTGCCAACCCTCACCAGACACCCAGTGGCCCCTTTGGGAGAGAAGTGATGCACACTTTCAATGTGATCTCTCAACAGTCTCGTTTTTCGAAGATGTCTCTACCGCCAGCTTTCTGTTAAACCCACAGTGCCCCAACATGGCGCTTGAAGGGTTGACATGCTTGCAAGAATGCTGGGTCCACCCCCAGCAGCCCCCCAAGGAAAGAAATGAAAGCCACCCCTGGCACTTCTGCTGAATCAAAGGAGAGACGAAGCCAGAGAAGAACTCTGCAGCCACTTTGAAGCCCCCTGACTGCCACACCGAGCGATGGGAGAGGCCTTAAGGGAAGTGAGGAGGGGAGAGAAATGACCCCAAAGGGAGGGAAAAGACAGAGAAGGGGCTCTTGGACACTGAGCTAGGCAAGACTGAGGCCCAAAGCCAAAACTGCAGCCCTGGAGGGGTTTATTTATTTATTTATGAGACTTATATACCGCTTTAAGTGCAAGCACTCTCTAAGCGGTGTACACCAGTAAGCAATGTATATATATATTTACATTGCCCCCAACAATCTGGGTCCTCATTTTACCTACCCCGGAAGGATGGAAGGCTGAGTCAACCTTGAGCCGGTGAGATTTGAACCGCTGACCTGCTGAACACAGTCAGCTAAAGTGGCCTGCAGTACTGCACTCTAACTGCTGCGCCACCTCGGTTGCCAAATATACTCATCTTCTAGTCATAACAAAGGTATTTTCAGGAACTGTGGCGTGTTCCCCACGTGAACCTGTGGGGCTAAGGTCAGTGGGAAGAAGCTGTATAAAGGCAGGCATCCATCCCTGGCATCAGACAAGGCCAGAGGAAGAGAACGGTTCCTTCATTTCAAGGACAGGACTAGTTGTAATAGGAATGGCGGTTGCACGGGCAGCTGGCAGCCTGACAGGCGAGAAGGCTCCATCCGACCTCAGCAGAGAAGACGAGCCACGCTCCTCTTGAGGGCAAAGCGCCAGGCCCCTCTGCAGCCCAAGGAAGAGCCCTTGCCGGGAGGAGAACCAATGGCTCCTGCTGCTGCTCCTCCCCGCAGCCACCGTGGGGACCCGCAGCAGCTCCCTAAATCCACGATCTTGCTTACTGGCTGCCTTGCTTTTGGGTGAACTGGGCAGGCGCTGCCCTCCTCAGCTCAACTGCCAGGATGCCAAGCAATCCAGGGGGATGGCTCTCCATGCTAATGCGGCCTGTTGGACAAATACATCACTGTAGCAATGTTTACAGCAGGGAGCAGAATAGAAGGAAACTGGGTTCCCCTCGAAGCATAAGATAAACAGCCGCCACTCAGGGGACACAAGCGTGCTCCAACAACACAACCTACGCAATTTTATAATGTGTTGCTCAGAAGACCTTTCCAAACATATGATTAATTGTTCTCATTTGTTAGGAAATTTCTCATTTCTAAGTTGGATCTTCCTCTGAGGAGCTTGAGATTCCAAATTTGGGAAGCATAGTCTTCTAATTCTTGGCCAAGGTATTTTGAACATGTGAACAATTAGTGTGCCTAAGATAGGATAGCCCATCAGCGAACATCTAGCTCCCTATGGATTCTTTGTCCTTTTAAAAGTCAGAGACAACATCTGCTCTCCAACAATCTCTAGAATCTGTCATGGTTCCTTCAGCCCACTGGAAAACAGTTCCTCTTGTCCTGGAGAAGTGATTCAAAGTAAATGAACCTCCTTTAGCCACACTTCTTGAAAGCCGAAACGCTAGTGGTCACCTGGAAGAGCTCCGATCCCTTCTCTCCCTCAGAACACAGTTGCTTCTCTGACATGGCCATTTCTGTAGTTCCAGGCCCTTCCTTTCCTAGGTGACTGGGCTTCTTTCAACCTTTTGAATGTTGATGCTCAGCTTTATGTGCAGCCTCCATGACTTTTTGCATTATGCATTATTTCCCAACTGCATCAGTTTCCTTTTTCCATTAGCTTCTCCTGCCATGGGAATCCTTGCTTATTTAACTAAAATTCACATCTTTGCAGTCCGAGGTAAAAATTAAACATTTTTAATTTTAAGTATTAAATGTTTTTAGTTTCCCTTAAAATCAAGAACTCCAATGTTATATAAAGTTTACTTAGCGTTCCTGCTATTTTTTGCAACTCTCTGAGTAATCTTATCCTTCAAATGGAAAAACCAAGAAGAACAAAGGTTCTATAAATATTGGATATTATTTTCCATACCACATCCAGATTCATGCTTAGTTTTATATATCCTACCTTTTCTTGAAGATTTCAGCAAGATTACCTAACCTTGATCACAATTCCCAATGCCTTCCAGCAGGGATTCCTCTGTAATCTGAAGCCAGTCTACCTCCTGGCAGCTACTGAAAAAGGGTCAAGCCAGCTGTCATTCGGATATCTTCCATCACAATATCTCCTTTCCCCTCCGGACTGCTGAAGAATTTCACTTTTTCCCAAGCTGAGAAGACCCCCGCCCTCTTTCCTTTGCCACATCTGTGGGGAGCACTGAAGCCTCCCTATCAACCTGTAACATCAACTGGAGCTTTACAGATGCCTTTGAAAGTTTGGTTTCGGCTACACCACATTGATTACTTAAAAATCTGAGTCAAGATAAAATTTTGCAGTACCTGCAAAATTGGAAAAAATAGATGTGAAAAGGATTAAGACATTTTAAAAGAATCAGATGCTAAACATGAGCTAAAAAGCCAAGTTTCTATCCTGAATTGGTAGAACAATTATGAAACAAAATGCTGCTTTCAGATCTGGGCATCATATTTTAAGAATTTTGAGAAAGAGTCAGGGGACTTAAAAGTTGAAAGAGATGGGAATATGTGGCTGAAATAGAGATTAAGAGAAGTCTTCAAAAAAGCAGAAAGGCTGTCATGTCAAAGATGAAGAGCGAAAGCTTTTTTAAAACCTTGGAGTTCTGGATGCGAATCAAGGGGTGGAGACTGCAAAGAAACAGATGTTGGCTAAACGGCAGGAAAAAAATCTTTAGAAAGGAGAAAATTCCTCTTCACTGTAGGACTTGGGCAGAGGCAAGACAACTGCGTGCAGGGACACTGGAGCAACAACCAGGACTGTGAGACAAGCAAACGGAGGGCAAGGAACTCTTCCGCCAGGTTCTCAGATGGGACGGTTTGAATCTGGGCCACATGCAGCCCTATTGGAAGACCTCACTTTTTGAGAAAGGCATTCGTCTGGAGACCAGGCAAAGCTCCTGAGGAGATGCAGAGAAACTCTCTGACCAGTGAATTGGAGCAGTCTTAGAGACCAAAACTACACTTGTAAACATGCAGCCTGGACCAAAATTGGCCCAGAGTAGCCAGTCTGGAGGGGCTGTGGTCAGCCCCCCTAATTGCAGCCCATGTTGGACAGCAAAGAACCTGGGGCCCTTTTCTGGCCTGATCTGGGCAGAGTTCTGACTGATCCAGGGCAGGAGGTGCGCTGCAACCAGCAGTTCCTCCCACCTTGGCGGTGCATCAGGACAGCCTAGGCAGAGAATTTTTTGTTTGTTCATTTTTCAAATGTCTGAACCACACGTTTCCCTCAGAGTTATCCCAGGATGGCCCTGGGCATCCAGCAGAGAACAGCTGGCCAACCCGGGACAGGCAGCTTGCCTTGTTCTCTCCCGTGGTAGTAGTAGAACTAGGACCAGCCACCCCTGCTTTGCCTGGTGGAGTGCCTCATGCGCCTCAGTTCCCTGCATGGAGGAAGACTGCCTCTAGGAAGAGACACCCACCACCAACCGCTCCTTCCCAAAGTTTTGTAATTCTCTTTTTGCCCTTCCCCAGGCCTTTCTGAGGTAGAACACCACTGCTAGCCCTGTGGTTTCCTTCTAGAGGGGGGACCAGGACTCATACACTATGCTGGCTGGAGAGTGGCAAGAACTCTGCCAACTGGCAAATATTTGGGCAAAAGGCCCAGCGTCTCCGGGGCGGCAGAAGGCAAGGGAAGCCCCCCCCCAAAGCAGCAGTGCAGGGGGTCCGGCTCCTCCAAGCCGCCCACGCCCCCCGGGGCCTTCAGGCTCTCGGCTGCACCTGTGCAGGACGGGGGGGCGGGAAGAGGGCGCTGGCGAGCCGCGCCCCCCGGCCGGGGCGGCGGGAGAAGGCCATTGCCGCTGGGGAGGCGTCCCGAGGCCGGGCGCAGCATCTCCCGGCTCCTTCGCGCAAGCGGCCGCCCCGGCTGCAACCTTCGACAGGCCGCCGAGTCTCCCCGGCCCGAGAAGGGCGCTGCCCCCAGCGCGCCGGGTTCTCCGCGAAGGCTGCCCCGCCCCAACATCGGGAGACGCAAGCGGCGGAAAGGAGAGGCGGGGCGGGGCGGGGGCGTCCAAGACCCGCAGAGCCCGGCGGCCGCTCCTCCCGGATCGCCTTCTGCACGTCCTCAGAGGCGCCCTCGCTGCCCCCCCCCGCGTCGCTCACCTTCATGTCGTTGACGATGGCCTGGAAGAGGCCCCCCAGCGCCCCGCACTCCTTCTCTGCCGCCTCCATGCTCGCCGCGCCGCGCAGCGCCCGCTTCGTTCCGCTGCGCTGCCTGAGACGCGCCGGGCGAGGCTCTGCGGCGGCGACGCGCCCGCTCGGTCACTTCCCGGCCCGGGCGGCGGGCGGCGGGGCAGGCGAGGGCGAGGAGCGGGGGATGCGGCGGCGGGCCATGGGCTGCAGGAGGCGGGAGCGGGCACGGCCGGGGGCGCCGCTAGGCCGGCAGGGGACGGGCGCGCGCCTCAGATGCCGGCGCGGGAAGGGGGCGCGCTCCGGTCACGTGGGCGAGGAGATGCGCTCTCTGATCCGTCGCGTCTCAGCCGGAGCTCCGGCCCCAGGCGCGGCGCGCTCGGTCCGGGCTGCTAGGCGTCGGGGACGACCCCGGGGAGGTGCCGGCGGAGGGGTCCGGGCGTGAGCGCGGCTCAGAAGGCCCGGTGGGTCTGCCGGGCGGTGGGCGCCCTCTCTCTGGGATGGCGGGGCGTCCCCGAGCATCGCAGCCCGTGCGCGCCGGATCAGTCGTCGCTTTGCGCCTCCTTCCAGCCGGCCTCTTGCAACTGAAGCCTCCTTCTGCCGGGCTTCCTCGGCCAGAAAAGAGGCCGTCTCGGGCGCCCCCCCCCCAGATCCCGGACCGTCCATTTTAATTCACCCCCCATCGGCTGCCCCACATCCAGCAGACCCGGCCCGGCCAGCGACGCCTCCGTAGGCGAGGGCCCGCCTCCCCCAGCCAAAGAGTATCCGGGCGAGGGTAGCGTTTCCACGGTCCTTTATTTCAAACGACGGTAGCAGGATTTCCCCGCGGGCCAGCAAGCCGGCCGTCGCAGTGGGGGGACGACACACACGCGGACCAGCGCGCACGGCCAGGCCGCAGCGGGCCCAGCAACAGCGGCGCCCCCTCCCCCGAGTTCGGTACTCCGATGCGGTCGGCCGAAGAAAAGGCAGGCGGGCTACGCGGCTCCGGCCCGGCCAGTCCGTGCGGAGCGGAGGGAGACCCGTCCTCGCGTGGACCGTCAGAAGGCGGCCGCCCCCCGGCGCTCCGGCGGCTCCCCCGCCCGCGTGGCCCGCTGATGCCGGCCCTGGAGATGCTTTCCCTGGACCCTCTCGAAGTGTTGCAGCAGCTCCGCGTAGTCGATGGCGGGGCCGGCGGCCGTCTTCCTGGCGCTCTGGCCGGCCTTGGCCGAGTCCCTGCGGAGAGCGTGGAGGGTCAGCCGGCCCACCGGAGGTCTCGGCACCGGGGCCCCTGGAGGCAATCCTGGGGGGGCCCCCGCCTACATTTTAAGCTCTGCCGGCAGCCTTCCTTGCCAGTCTCCCAGCTGGCTCTGCCGGCAAGCCGGTGGCCGAACCTCTGTGGCTCCCCCCAAGCCCACAGAGGACTGAAGCCAAGCGGGGGCCCGCAGAACAAGAGAAATGACAGCAGCCTCCCCAAGCGCAGCGCCTTCTGGGGCCCGGGGGTCTCGTGGCCAGTTGCACCCGGTCCCTACCTCTGAAGGAGGCTAGAACGAGCAGGGATGCTGGGGTCTCAGTGTCTCCTGGCTCCCTTCCTCTTTATGGAGCCCATAGGGTAGGATGTGCATCCAGATGCCACACAGCCCCACTGCAAGAGGGTGCGTTTCTCCCCCTGCTGTCCCCCTTTGGGACCTTAATTCAGGATGCCAGTGAGGATGATGATCCGAGACAAGGGGTTCCCATCTCCCCCCACCAGTCTCAGTTTGGGGGTGGGACTATATCCTTTGGTTTCCCACAAGGCTCAAGCAAATTCTCTGCTGGCCTTTAACACGCCAGCCCTGCCTGCCAGCCCTAAGGAAATGGGGGTGGCAGGTACCCCCATAATGTGATTTTAGAAAAGAGGCTGGGCTGGCCAATGGCCCATTTGTCCATTCCACAAAGAAAAGTGGGAGACGCTGTTTGCTGCCTCCCCCCATCCCAACTGGGAGGCCCCTCCCCTCTTCTGTGAGCAGAAGGCTCCAGCCCCCCCCCCCAAAAAGGTGGCTCCTCTGCTTCTGGCCCATTAGGGACAGGGTGGCTGCAAGGTGCCCTGTGAGAGCTGTATTAGATGACCCTCTGTCCCTCACCCAGAATGATGTTTTTATTAGGACACATGAACATTCTGGAAGGCCCCCAAATCCTCTTCCAACTCCCCAGGACTGACATGCCTCCTACCCCCACATGCAAAGAATACCCTGCCCCGAAAGGAAAGGAACAGCTGGTAGAGAGTGGGAGTCTCGGGTTTTCAGGCACCTCACGGTCCAGGCAGTGGGGAAGAGTGCAGCCCCCAAGAAGACAAGCTTTCAAGGGGTGGGGGTGCTGGGGGGGAAGGAGGATGCTCCCCCCAGTCGAAGCCTTTGACTGTAAAAGGGTTGGGGAAAAGGCCTGCCCAAGATGTCCGGGAGGAGCCCCACCTCTCCTGCTCAGGAAGAAAAGGACCCACCTCCCTCCCGCAAAAGCCAGTTCCCAACACTGCCTTCTGGAAGGGGGTGTGTGTGTGTGTATGTCCAAGGCCAGCCTGGCTTCTTCCTTGCCTCCCTGGGAAGGGCCAGGAGCCGAGGAGGGAGGCAGGAGCAGCTGCAGGAGGCTGGGCGAGGGATTTCCCATGGGCCCCTTTGCCACCTGGGGGGGGGGGAGAAATGCCTGGGCAGCTGTTGTTCTGGGGCCGGTTTCCATGACAACACTTCAAGGGGAATTTTCCATCCTGGATGCCAAAGGCGAGGTTGCCAAACATAGACAAAGCTGGGACCAGCTAGGCGAGGGCTGAGATGCTGTCACCCAGGGACCACCCCCCTCCCCCTCCTCCTACTTCAGCCCCCAGGGGAAAAGTCTCAGCTGCCTGCCAGCCCCACACACCAAAAAGCAGTGAGGTGCTCCAAGAAAGGCCCAATGGGAGCCAGGCATTTGAAACACACCTGAAGGCCCTTCAGTCGGGGCCCTTCAAGGCAGCGGATGCCAGTTCTGAGGGCCCTTGATGGGCCAAGCGCAGCCGTGAATGCCCTCTGCCAAGGTCACAGGCCAGGTGAGCCCTTTCAAGGTACCGAGGCACAGAGCAAAGGCACCTTACCTGCTGTGCAGCCTCTTGTGCTGAATAAAAGCACGATTACTTTGAACATGGCTCTCTTGGTGCAGAAGGCACTCCAAATGGTAAAGATGTTGGCTTGAAACAACAGGCCACTTCCTTCCTAGAGAGGGCTCCCCATTCAGCCCCTGCTGCCCCTTTGGAAAGGGGGGAGGGAAAGATTGTAAAGCAAGTGCTTTACAGGCACAACTTACGCTGTTTGCATGAGTTCTGGGTTCGGGACGCACTGCAGCCGGTGGGAGAGGAGCTGGAAAGCGTTGCTCTGGGGCAGGAGCATCAGCAGCCCGTAGAGAGCCTTGAGGAGGTACGGATTGCTTTTCACATCCAGCAGCTGCAGACGGAGATCTGGAAGAAAGCCAGGACAGGCGTGACCTCTGTGGTCATAAGACTGGAGCTGCTTCTGTGCTGGCAGAAACAGAAGTGGGACCCTGAAATTTGAGACTCGGTGGAAAGGGGTGATCTGGTAGGTGGGTTACTAAAAAGCTTACTGCACAGGACCTTGCAGGTTCCAAAGCACAGGAGGGCAGCAGCCTACCATGGGTGGAAGCCCAGGAAGCGGAACAGAGAGATCCAGGGAAGAAGGGCATTTGGATAAGAAAGCAAGACGAAAATACTTGGGGGTGCAGACCCAGGACAGAACCTCTAGGGAATTCCCTCCTAAACCAGAGTGCAGGAGTCCTTAATTTAGGACCACTCGTTTAATGACAAACCGGAATTACAACAGCCTCAGAATGGGTGCCTTATGACCCGTAAAGCATTTTCAGCCATCACAAAATGTTGCACAACTACCACAGCCCTGCAGTTATATCATATGATCTGCATGCTTGGCAACCTGTTTGCACTTAAATCCATTTTCCCCAGACTGAGCTGATACAGTTTGGGGGTCCTCCTGGACTCACAGCTCCAGCTTGAAGAGCAGGTGGCAGCTATAGTTATCTTTGTGCAGATTCATCTGGTGTGCTAATTAAATCTTCCAGGATCAGGAGTTGCTTCCAGTTTGGATTACTGCAACGTACCCTTAACCTGGGGCTGCCCTTGAAAACCACTCAGAAACTATAATTTGTTCAGAACGTGGCAGCATGCTTAGTTTAGGATGCCCCAGATGCCCCCCTATATCGCACCCTTTGCATGAACTGCACTGGTTCCTAGTTCTCTTCGTATGGCATCCAAGGGGCTGCTTATTCTCTTTGAAGCTTTGCGTGACACGGGACCAGCTTATCTGTGGGGCTGCCTCTCTCCCGGTCAAATAGGCTCTTAGTACCTCACTTAAAAGCTGCCCTGCCCAGGAAGCCCCATGGAAGACTTTTCTCTCCCGGCAAGTGCGGGTTTAGGGTGAGGTTGATGAGGTGAACTGCAAGTGAAAGTTTACTGATGGTGCCTGGCTTGGATTTGGTTTTAATACTTGTGATTTTAACATTTTCTGTTGTACACAGGTATTGTTTAATCTGTTAGTTTCAGATTGCCCAGTGTTGGTTCAAAATAGGTGCCTATATGTTAACAAATAAATAAATAAATGAAGACACACAAGCTGCCACAACACACAACACATTGCCAAGAAGGATCAGGCAGGAAGGAAACTCACAGGTAAAGATCGGGCACTCGATCAACTGGACCAGCTTGTCCACCTCAATCAGGAAATCGACCGTGACCTCAAGGTCTCCACTGGATCAGCAGTCAAGGCCTCTGAACGCCAACAGCCCCCCGGGCAGTTTCGAGGGCCACACAGAGAGAGTCCCACTGCAGGGAAGCCCCCAAGCCCAGCATAGCTCTTTAGGACTGGCCTTCAGGAGGGGTGATCCATAGAAAACAGGTGTGGGAAGAAAGCACCCCAGCTCCTGAAGGACCCCTGCCCCAAATGGAAACGGCCAGAAAGCGGGTGTGTGTGTGTGTGTGTGTCCTGAAGAACAGGAAGGTTAAAGAGGGGCAGGCGGTGAAATGCATCTAGCATGGCATGATGGAGATTTATTCCTAAAATCTGCATTGCTAGATTTCTGAAATCTTTTGGAATCACCTGTGCAATCTTTTCAAGAGTGTTAAACCACCAGTCCTCAGGGCACGATGATGACAGGGGTGGGGAGCCATTTCTACAGAAGGTTTGCAAGGAAATACAGCCACCCCCCACTGCCTGGGAAAGGGGACCTGACCGTCAGTCTGGCTGAAGAATCATTGGACAGAAAAGCTCTTGCTTGCATCCAGAAGGCTGCTGGTTCCTCCACTGCTCCTCCAAAAGCTCCTGCAGGAGGTGAACGGAAGGAGCGCTAGTCTGAATTAGAAATTGCACTTCAGTTGGCCTTCTGCCAAACCCGCTGAATCCTGGTGCCACCAGGACCTCCAGGTTGGGTTTCTCACTTTCCTGAATCACCTACAGTGGTCCGTGAAGGTTCTTCCCTCTAGGCAAGCGGTGGAGGAGCAGCCCCCCTTGCGGGGTGAGAAAAGCAAGACGTGAAGCAAAGCCTCCCACTCCTGGAAGCCTTTTCCATCCACCCTCCAAACACAAGGCCCCCCTCCTCTCCGCCCGCAGGGCAGACCCCTGGAAGGATACAATTTCTGGATGAGGTCGTAGGCGTGCTTGTAATTCTGAGTGAGGAAGCACAAGGAGACAGTGGTGACTGGATTGTGACACCAGGAGCGGTAGAGACAGCAGAAGAGGTTGCGGCTTTCCTAGGGAAACAGCATGGGGGGAAGCAGGGAGAAAGAAAAAAAATCACTTGCAGCTCAATTCTACTTAGTTTTGCATTTTCTGAGCGTTCTGGTCCCAAATGGCGCCCCCCCCCCAGAGAAACAGCTTGCAAAAGAAAGTGGAGTGCGAAACCGTGTACAAAAAAGGCACAGGAGGTTTTAGGCAGATTCACACTTTCTAACACTTCAGTAAACTGATACTGAAACAGAATTGAACAAATGTTTACCTTCAAAACTGTGAAAACTGTAGGAAGCAAAAACAAAAATCCCCCAACAGCGAAGGCAGCCGTCTCCTGCCAAGGACTGAGCTACCCGGCTGGGCCCCCGGCCTGGTAGCGTGGCTGAAGTGCAGCAGCACTGAAGGAGAATCTGCCGAGGGTGGTGCGGAGTTTGAGTCCTACCCCCCCCCCGGCCAAGCCCTGGCCAAGAGGGTCTGTGGCAGCGGCACATCACCCTTATTGCAAGATTGGCCCTGTGATACACTCAGGAGGGCCACAGATGGGCCAGCAAAGACTATCCCCTTGCTGGCCATTCCCTGGGTGCCCCTTGCAGAGCCTTCTCCTGTCCTATGGGAGAGAGCGACTAAACGGCCTTTTCCAGGAGATTCCTGGTGCTGAAAGGGTGGGAAACTGATAGGATTGAGAGGCTTAAAGGGAAGCCATGTTCACTGCTGACCTCGGCTTAGAAGGTCTGCAAGGAGCATCCAAAGCTGATTCCCTCAAGATTCACGGAGGCGACTGCGGGCCGAAGAGGCTGCTTCTTCAGCTGGGCAGAGTGGGCTTGTGGCCATAGAACTGCTCACACCCCTCCCCCCCTGTAGCTCCACAGCATAATTGAGGGGCCCTCAACAGACCTCTCCACTTAATGGGGGTGCCTAGGAAGCCAAGCGCATCCAAGCAGACGGCTGGGAGGGAGCCAAGTAGGTCAAGGGGGGAGACGGGAGAATCTTTCTCCAACCTACCGCAGTCTTCAGATCCTTGAGTTGGTTCCTCAGCTGGAAGAGCTCGGAAGACGTCAGGAGGATGGTGTTGAGGGTGTGGACCATGGTGGAAGCGAAGCGGAGGTCCTCCTCCCGCAGGAGGATGTCTGCCATGGAGTGGAAGATGTTCTCTGCGTTCAAGAGCAGGCAGAGCTGCCTGTGTGACACCAAGAAACACAGCACCCAGTTTTAAATGCTGCAGTGGAGAGGGAGAATGGTCTGCACCACCAGATATGGCCAAGATAAGCACACCTGGCGAAAGACAAAGAGGAAACGTGTGTGTGTGTGTGTGTGTCCAGAGCATGTTCTGCTTTTGCCTCTTTTGTTGGGCAATTTCCAACCCTGGATGGCACTTCATTCAGGAGACCCCAAGAATTCCACCCAGGGTTTCTCTCCCTTCTGAGCCTCACTCTGGAACTACTCCCCAAGACTGCTGCCTCCTTGTGGTTCTCCCAGCCACCCTCCCTGGATGTATTCCTGGGCTGGTCCCACATCCTACCCAGCCAGCTGCTCTCCAGAGGCTGAACAAAGGCTCTGCACTCCCTACCTCAAGGCCAGCCAGAAAAGAAGTCTCCTCTTTTGGATCTCCCAAAGCCCAGACCCTCACCAGAGGCTCCTCCTGCCAAGCCTAAATGACAGAGAAGCCCTCCCTCCCTCCCTCAGTCATCAGCATGAAAAGAGACTAGACTGCCATTTGTCTGAAATAGTAGCAGCAGGTCGTCTAGAAGACCTCCAAGGTCCCATTTTGTGACTGCCAGATGGGTACCCAGGCCTCCAAACTGCCTACTCCAGGCCAACAGGTGAGCCTTTCAGAGGCTACAAAGGAGAGACGCAGGCAACCAATAGCCACACTGGTCCAAATCTCTTTTGTTAGGAATTCAGCTGCTTTTTCTCCTCCCTTCCTGAGCAGGTAATCCCTACAGCTGGACCCCTCGCTCTGGCCTGCTGGGCACACAGCCCCAAACCAATCTAAGATGAGGTTAGTCCAATAATTGACCAAGAATGAGGTCTCTTTCCAGTATTTGTGGTGAACTGAAAACAGGACCTGGAAGCAATTAATTCTGGAAAAGCCCAGAGGAATTCATCTCAGGATAATTCCCAATTCCAGAACGGTCAGCTGTTGAAGAGCATTTCCCAAACACAGGCGTATAATTTTGAACTCTTTAGTAAGTGCTGGCAAATTTTTCCTTCCCCTGAGGACCAAAGAGTACTGCAGCTAACTTGAGGGTCAGGAGGTTGTTCCTTCTGGCCCCAGCTCCAGAAAAGGACCACTGCTGACCCAGAGCCCACCACAGAGCTGGCAGGAGGCTCCAATCATGGCAACCCATGAAGGACAAACTACTCAGAGGCAGGAGAAGATGTGGCCTGGGCTGACCTGATGATGAAAGCTCCCCGGGTCTCCAGCAGCTTCCTCTCACTACTGAATCTCTTGAGCAAGTTGATCATGAACTGGTAGAAGTAGGAATTCATGGTGGGGGCAGAGGGAGAGCACCCCATGCTCTTGGCTCCTGGAAGGTAAACAGCGGAGGTCACCTAAAGAAGAGGGACAGGGACCCTAACCTTTCTGCAGACAACAAAGGGATCTGCAGGGCGTTATTAGCAAGGGCTTCTCGTTCCCATTCCTGAATTTAAGGGGTCTGGTCCTCCTGCAGGTTCCAAGTAGAAGAAAAAAATGGTAAAATGTTTCTGGAGTTCCTGCAACAAGTGAGCCATGCGGGCCCTCCTGAGGGTGCAGAGACAACTCTACACAACACAATATCTCAGAGGAGCTGGCAGAGAAGAAGACTATTATTCGCTTGTCACAATAAACCTATTTTCAATAGTTTTTTTTTTAAAAAAGCTCAGCTGAATTTCTAACAGTTCCATGAGAAGTTGAAAATGAAATTCTCCTGGGAAGATGAAACATTTTGTTTAATTGCTCAGTACTAATCTACAAAATCCATCACCAGATTAGCTCCCAAAGATCTGGATAAGTAGGACAAACCTGTAGGCCAGGCCTGCAAACAACCCAAGAAGAAAGGGCTGCCGGTGTGTCAATCGCCCCCTTACCCTCACCGCCCCTTCCATCCCCACCTCCCTTGGATCCGAATCTGAAAGGTTTCCCCAAGGTTTTCTTCACATTTTTTCCATCACAGGTTTCCAAACCTGGTTGTTCTTTACCTGGTGAGTCCCAGAAATTCTTGATTTCTCCCTATTGCCAAGATTTTTATAAACTGAATTGCCTATCTGGAGATTTAAAGGCTTACTTCATTTCCTCTAATGCAGTGTTTCTCAACCTTGACAATTTTAAGGCATGTGGACTTCAACTCCCAGAATTCCACAGCCAGCATTGGGAGGACCGCTGAGGCTGTCTTACCCTTCCTGTAGCACGGAAGAGGTATTGCTGGCTGTGGAATTCTGGGAGTTGAAGTCCACATGCCTTTAAATTGTCAAGGTTGAGAAACACTGCTCTAATGCTTCTTTGCAAGCATTAATGGTTGGAAAAGACAGACAAGGAACGAGCCCTGGAAGGTGCACTCAAACATGGAGAAATATCCTTTCCAACTTAGATATGCGGAACGCCATGAGCTTAAGAGTAACTGAGAGAATCTTCAGCAGAGTCACCCGCAAGAGCCAGGCATGATTTATGTTGGACAATGGAGCGGAACTGCCTGGTGCCAGAGAATAATCTCAGCAGATTTTGCACCAAAACAGGAATTAGAGCCTGCTCAGATCCTCAGGGAGGAAAGGGCTCCTTGTGAAATAACAACCTTTTGTAAAATCCAATAGCCAGACCTGCTACCTGGTGGTGAAGTGTTTTTATTGGATCATCAGGCTGGTCGTCACCCCCACCCCCCACCCCAAGCTCCCCCACAACGGTCAATGCAATGGAGGCTTCCAGACCAACCACCACCTCTTCCGTGCTACAGGAAGGGTAAGACAGCCTCAGTGGTCCTCCCAGCCCCACAGCTCTCTGCTTCCCCTAATGGGGCAGTCTCCACAGAGCCAACAGCCTAGCAGCACCCCCTCCGGGCACCTCTCAGCTATTTTTACAGAGACCGTTCATTCATTTTGTTCGGATCAGGTTTAGTGTGCAGGGACAAGGACAAGAAGTTGGCTTTAAAGATCAAGATGAGATGAAGAAAGCCAAGATTTTTATTCCATTACAATACCATTGGCACAAAAAAAAAAAACCCTGCTCTTACTAGCATCACCATCCAACCTAAAAAATGGAAAGGCCTCACTCCATTCCCCCAGCCCCCAAGAAAGCAGCAGCAAAACCTGTCAGGAGAACTTCACATCTGAAACAGACGGGGCAGAAGCGCTTTCTCCTCTACCGTTATGAGAAGCCACCTCCCTTGGAATGAGAAGCCAAAGCCCAGGACTGCTCAGAACCTGCTCCCTTTGCCCGGGAGCGGCTGGCGCTGAAGCACTTACCAGAGGACGAGACAGCCTGGCTACTTTTGGCTGAAGTGGGTACAGTCAGGTCCAGTTGTTCCAACCGGAGCCCAGGGCCCTCCTGCGGCCCTCGGCCTTCCGTCTGGCCAGCTGGGGAGGAGGCAATCTCTGCCAAGACTTCAAGGTCCTTGAGAATAACCTGGGATCAGCAAGAGAGAGAACGGCTGATGAGGCCACAAGGAGATGGGCAGCACCAGAAAGACTGCGGAGCCAAATCTTGCAAAGGGATCAGCAGGGAATTTGGTCCTCTTGCCCCTGAGAAGGGGGGCAGGGCTCCTGCAGGCCCCTCTCCTCAACCACGTCCCTCCAGTTGGTTAAGGCTGCCAAGGAGGGGACCCCGGCTTGGTCTGGACAGGTGTTAACAATAATTACTTGAGGGAGGGAGGGGGTGGGGGTTCCTTTAAGGACAATTTTTTTGTCCAACCAACCCAGGACTCTTCAATATCTTCATCAATGATTTAGATGAGGGAATAAAAGGGGAACTCATCAAATTTGCAGATGACAGTAAACTGACAGGAATAGCCAACACCCCGGAAGACAAGCTCAGGATTCAAAAAGATCTTGACAAACTGGAACCATGGGCCTATCCAACAAAATGAGTTTTAATGTGGAGAAAAGCAAAGTTTTACATCTAGGCAGGAAAAAAAAATCAAAGATATAAGTAGAGATTAGGTGAGACCTAGCTCAAAAACAGTGAGAGGGACCTTGGAGTCCTAGTGGACAATCACTTGACTATGAGTCAGCAATGTGCAGCAGCCAAAAAAGCTAATACAGGGAAAGGAACAAAAGGAAAGAAAGGAAAGAGGAAAAGGACAAAAGTCTCAGTGAAGTATTGGTGGAGAAGACTAGCGGCAGCCTATGGTCTCCCCTCTTCCAGGGTGAGGCGAGGTGAGTGTTCAGCCTCTGAGAAGGGGGGCATCTCTGCCACTCTCTTTTCCTTGGCTCTCTTTCCTGCTTCCTTCTTATTTTGGTTTCCATCGTGAAAGGGATGAAAGGACTTTTGTCTCATTCAGAAATCCTTTAAGACAGTCAGGAAACATATCCCTCACTCTGGAAGCCAAGCGTCCCGATGCCCTGGGAACAAACAACCAGGCGGTTCCCCCCCCCAGTACTCCACCTGCAGGCCCTCTCTGGGGGAACCGGGGCACCTGCTGGGGTGGGGGAGGGCAGCCATTCACATGCAGGGCACGTCTGTCCAGCGAGCCTACCCCAGGCAGCTTTTCTCTGTCTTTGTGTGGTGTGAGCTACGGGAGAAGCTGGCAAGGGGCAAGGAAAGCCACAAATACCCAGCACTGCCATGGCAACAGGGCCGGTGCCAGCAGAGCCGTTAGCTGCTTCTTCCTCAGCAGCCCCTCCTGCTCCCAGTTCCCAGCCCTGGAAGAACCCTTTCCCTCCCACCCAACAGCAGACGGGCCTCCTCCCAACTCTCTGCTCCAGCAGAGGGAACTGCAGAAGCCCCTGGGAAAGGAGCGTGGGGCCTCTTTTGGGCACACTGGGAAGAAGAAGGAGGGAGCCTGGCTCAATTCTCCAAGGAATCAGGGGCTTCAAATGCGTCTTGGGGGGAAATGGCAGCGAACAGGCATGCTGGGGGAGAGGGATTACATTGTGAACAAGGAGCCCTTTGTTCTCCTTGGCACCCCATGAAGATGAAAGGAGGCAGCTGGTATTCATCTTCCACCACCCGGGCTTACATGACTTTCTGCTGGTTGGCAGAGAGACCGAGACCAAGGATCTGAGAAAAAGGATTTGGGGAAAATGCAGGGGGTCTTTGCACCGTGCCCAGAGGGGAGGTAAATCATCCCAAGGGAAGCAGCTGACTTTGCCTCCACCTCAAGAAGATTTTGGTTGCAACCAGTCACACGCTTCGCTCCGCAAGCATTTCCTCTGCACACACATACCAAAGTGTGCAAGGGGACTCTCTCTCTCTCTCTCTCTCTCTCTCTCTCTCTCTCTCTCTTTCTCTCTCTCTCTCTCTCTCTCTCTCTTCCACTGCTATGCTATCTTCCTCCAGTCATGCCCACTTTGGGCTCAGTAAACAGGCAGAGTTTCCCATGCAGAAAATGAAGAATGAACGAAGCCTCTTCGGGAGCCCTGGGAATCCAAGGCCACGAGAGGATGGTTCTCCCTGAGAAGCCCAAAGGCCCTCAGGACTCCATCCCTGGCAAGAGACTGACTGTCTGGCGATCACAGCAGAGGAGGAGCTAACGAGGGCCAAAGCCCACCAATCTGTACCAAGAAGTGGGAAAAGCACAATCCAAGAACGGCAGCAGTTTCTGATCGTGACCCTGCCAAGAACCGGCAGCACAAGGAAGGCTTTGGTTTATTCTAAGCACAATTAACACAAAATGGAAAGATCTGAGTCTATAAAGCATCACCTTAAGATGCTCCTTCCAAGAGCCAGAAGGAATGGTGGGGGTAGAAAATCTCAAAGCTAAATGGACATAAAATTAACAACACACGAAGGAGAGAAACTCGAGAGAATATTTCAGAAAGAGTGGATATAGGCCTCCACATCTACGAGAAAGCCAGGACCGACCCAGAGGAATTCCTGGTTGGATCAGAAGTCCAGAGAGGCACTTCCCTGGCTGGGAAGCTCAGTGACAACCTCCGAGGAAGCTCACTGGAAGGAACCAGCTCCCTAAAGCTCGCTCTTTTCCCCCAGCAAGAATGAATTCCTTCATTCAGTGTCCAAGGCTGCCCACTGCCAACCCTGGGTGACTCCCAGAAAGTTAAACAGGTAATAACGATCAATGAAAGTGACAGTAAAAATGGCTATGCTGGGAAAACAAAAGCACAAATTAATTTTATTGATTCAGGGGCCAAAAGAAGGAAAATTTCAAAAACCCTGCAGTAGATTAGTCAGAATCACGCAAAAGCAGTTCAGAAATCTCTGTATCACTGGGCCAGAGGAACTTCGACACCCATGGCCAGGATGAAGCAGCCCATGAAGATGCTTTGCAAAGTGAATAACACAACAGCGGAGAAGCTCCTCTTACCTCGTCAGAGTCGTCAGATAAGGTCTTCAATAAGATGGGGAATAAGCTATCCGTGTGCCGGAACATCTGAAAAGCAAAGAAACCTTCAAGGAGACAAGTCGAAAAACATCATGGGATCAACTGTCCCATTTGGCACATTCAACAAAAGAAACTCCTGGCTCTACCAAGACTGTCGCTTTACTGAAAGATCCATCTGGGCACAGCAGAAGAAAAGTCCATTCTGGGATTTTACCTGTGAAAACCCACATAGGTAAAACCACTTTTTCCCCTCTGGGCTGCCCACAGTTCATAGTTTTTTTTTGTTTTGGGAAAAATTGCCTGCTGCTGCTCAAACATTCTTCATAACCTGACCTTGGCAGATTAAGTCTTGCTGGCAACAGAAGGCTGTCATGCATCCCATAGCCTCCCCTTCCTTAGGAATTCACCACCCTCCTTCTGTCACTGTTTGGCAAACTGTGAGCGAAAGCAGGTGCAGGCAACTATGGAGTCAAGTTTGACACACGGAATGTTTTATTTATTTCTGTATCATATTTCGAACCTGTCCATCCCCCTCACAGAGCACCTCTATCCCTGCCTTGTGTTGCTCCACACAGGACCCACGCCCAGTTTCAGACCATTCCCCTTGCATATGAAGGGATAACACCTCGCAACCAGAGTGGCCTACAATTCTCAAGAATTTAAAGCAGTCATGCTATAAAAATTGTTATAGTTATGCTTGCAGAAAACCAGGAATAAAAAAACTTTAAAAATAATGAAGATGATGTCAGACATCTGAGTAGTCTAACAGGCTGTTCGAATTCTGGTAAAATCACGAAACCAAAGAGGACATTGAGGCTGTGGGGCCCAACTTCTCGTTCAATGAAGGAGAGGCATGGCCTCCCTGGGTCGTTGCTCTTTGCCATTCCTATCCATAGGATACTTTTTTTTAACCTTTCAATCCACCTTTTGCTATTTAAATTCACAATTCTGCACCCCACAGCCTTGAATGAAAGAAAGCAGTCCTTGACCATCCTCTTTCCTCTTTGGGAAATTAGAGTGCCGCTATGTATCCAATTCTCCGTCAGCCTTTAAGGTAGGTCTGGTCAAGAAAGAGACATGGCAGGAATGCCCTTCATTGTGGGTCTAGGATAACTCGCCACAGGACAAGAGTTACAATAACATCAAATAAATTGTGGAATAGAATCATTAAAGAAAGGATGCAAAAAGAGGGGCAAAATAAAACCTGAAATGGCAATAATTAAATTAAAATTGTTGAATTGTCCTGTGGCAAGTTGTCCCACGGTGAGTTGTCCCCTTCCACTTCATGGTTGAGCGCCCTATTAAATGTTTTTCTAACCAGCTGTCTATTCATTCATCAGAGCACCAACCCATACTTAACCAACATGCTCATCAATGTGTCCCTGGGCATTTTGCCAACTGCTTTGCTGATGTCAGTGGAACAAATCAGCCTTCTTGATCTTCTCTAAAGTTTGGATCAGTCCTTGTGAGGTGTGACCCATCCTTTTTTATCCTTTGGGTAAAAAAATTCTGATCATGGTCCCAGTAGTCAATTCTCTTCTGTTGACAGCACTTGAAAATATAATTGTTCAGCTACAATATTCTTCTTTACTTCCTGGTTCTCTTCCGTAGACAGACCAGATGGATGAAAACAGCAACTGGGTCCTCAGGAACTGGAGCATCCTTCCTACAGGTGATGGAGCTTCCTTCTCTTGGAAGAATCTTTTTTCTCTATAATATTTCTCCTTACTCGGTGGAGCCTATTCTCTAATATATTATCAGGAAGCTTTTCTTATTCTTGGCTGGTAGCCCAGAAAACTGAACACAAAATCCTCAAAAAAAATCAGTCCTACCATGTTCCACCCCAGTTTCTAAGACCTGAAGGTGTTACTAGAAACAAATTACAGACATCACATGTTTTAGCAGACAGACAGAATTATCACTGGGCTTAGTGATTTATTTATTTAATTCATCATATCTATATAGACATCAATCTCACAAAATGTGACTGTGAATGGTGAACAAGCCATGAAAGGAACAACACTAAAACATTCCTCAAAAAAAAAAAAAAAAAAACACATTAAAGGATTAGGGGAGAGCAGAGTTAAAGTTATAGACAATGCAATCACCTCACCATTTTCTTTCACCTCTGTTTTAAGAGGCTTCAGAAAGGATATCGAGGATGGGCCAGTGCTTTGAGGAGAAGAATGCTCCAGAATTTTTGGAAACTGTTGTATCATAAGTCACCAGCAACAATTCTTTGTCTTCATGTAGGGCACAACTGTGCTCCCTTTACCCTTCGGGGTTTGACTATTTGGTTCATTGTGGTGAGTACAAATCACACACACAAAAACACACATACCTATTTTCCTTTCCTAAGGGATTAGAACTCATTTTTCCAAGGGTCTGAACATCCAGAATCTCTTTCTTCTGCCTGGTTATGACTATTGCCCATTAAGCCCACTTCTTTGAAGGTCTTCCTGATGAAGAACCGATTCCAGTATTAGATGTCTGAAAGCCTATGCTTCCACTTCTGAGAACTTGGAAGATGCTTCAATCCAGACAGGCTGAATGGTAATTGAAATGACCATTCAATGTTAAGCGCAAGAGAGGTCCCGAGCCATGCTCAGAACTTTGGTGCACAAAGCAGCAGCTACAGCTGCCAAAAGAGGCTCCGTTGTGTTTCTATGGCTGACCTTCCCCTGCTCCCCCTTTTTTGATCTGAAGGAGAGACACAGCTCCTCAGGTGACAAGCAACCAGTGATGGATATGCTGCTTTGTAAGCACCAAACATAATGAATTTGTCACATGGGTAAATGAAGAACGCATCTTATTTCTGAGTAACATCTATGGAAGAATCAAGAAGTTATTTGCTCAGTTCAGGTGACATTAGATTTGCTATTTAAATGGCTCCTTTCCAATATAAACGAAGGTCAGTACCAACAAGACCCGTTTCTCAAGATCAGGTTGGGTCTAAAGGCCTACCTTACGTGGTGTCTTGATGTACAGGTGGTACAGCCACTTCAAGACTGCAATCCGCGTCATCATTCCAGTGGTTGAATCATGAAGGTGGCAATCCAGGACCTGCACAATTCCATCAAGGTTCAGGGTCACACAACTTCTCTCCGTGCTGCAGATAAAAGCAGGATCAACAACAGATTGGCCCAGTAGTTAAAACACCAGGCTAGAAATCAGGAGACTCTGACTTCTAATCCCACCTTGGGCATGAAAGCCACTGAGGGACTTTGGGCCGGTCACTCTCTCTCAGCTCAACCCGTCTCACAGGGTTAGGCACAACGGGCAAAAATAAAGAACGGCAGAAGAAACCCACGAGCTATTCAAAAGCTCAGCAGAGCCACAGGAGAGCCACTTCGAGGGAGCTCCTTCCTTAGAGGTCCTTCGATGGCTGAGGGCTCAAAGCCCAGATAGGCCACTGACCGGCCACTTTTCCCTTCAGAGTTAGAAAAAGGGCACAGGGAATTAAACCCTGTGACTGAATTCTGCTGCCCGTTTGGTTTTGCTAATTTCCCTTCCGGGTGGAGGGAAACGTAGGGTTGCTGTGAACCAGATGACAGTGCTGGGAACAGCCGCCCTCCAAACAGCCCGAAAGAGCGAACTCCTCACTCCCCCCTCCACCCCCCCCCCGGTGCAGGCCTCCTCCTCCTCCTCCTTCTCCAGACTCTCCCCCCCCCCTTTCAAAACGAGAGTGTAGGAATAACTGACCTAGCTGGTACAAAGATGCTGGCGCTATTGAAATCCGATTCACTGGAGACATCCAGGCAGCCTAAAGGAAGAGACTGCAGGTGAGCTTCACCCCTCCCCAAAATTGACCGGGAAAGACGCTGGGGGGGGGGCAAACTCCTTTCTTCCCAGGCCCAGCTGCAGCTCATCTACTCACGGCCTTCCCAGGCACTTCCAAAACCATAGCTGCCTCATCAGCAAGGCACAAGCAGGTGCCCTCTGCAGAGCTTGCCATGGCCGGGCTCATGGGCAACCAACCTGAGGTCCAGCAGGCCTGGCAAAGGGAATTTAACAAGCAGCAGCCCTTCCTCTGCCCCCCCCCCCGCTTCTCTGAGAGGAAGCAGCCCTGGGGCGACATGCATCTTCCGGGGAGAAAACCCCACCCCTGAGCAAACCCTCCCTTCATGGGACTCTCCAGCTGACCTTTTAGGGCGCCTTCAACTTCTAGGGAGAGCCAGCTGGGAAGTGCCCAGCCATAGATGACCCTCCATTCCCAGGCCTTCAGGCCAGCACTTCCCAAACTAGGGGCACGTGGCCCCAGCAGCTACACTCTGGCCCCTTTGCAGCTTCCAGGCCACCTGCTGGGGCTGCAGCAACCCAAGCAAAAGGCAGTGAGGCAGGGAGCGGCTGCCCCAATTAAGCAAACAACTCGGTGCAGCTTGAGGTGAGCCCTGAATGACTTCTCAATCTGGTTATCTGAAACTAGGAGATGGTGAGAAAGGAGGGGAACCAAAAGGGACACACAATTCAAAGGAACAACCAAACTGGAGAAAGCAACATCACAATGGCAAATGAAACTCCCATTACCTATAAATTCAGAAGGGGTGACCCTTTGCAAGACTCCCTTTGCATCTGCAGCATCGGGTACAGCCCTCGCGGCTGTGATGGATGGATGAAGAGCTGGCCACTCTGGGCAGCAGCCAGCCTCTGCCTGGGCCATGTTAAGGTAGGGGATCCGGGGAAAAGCTAAGCCACTCCAGAACTCTAAACTGGTTAAGGGGAACCACATCACCTAGCTGCCCTCCAACCAACTGAAGAAGGCAGAATTGGACCCCAGGCCCAGTCACGGTGGGCTTGGCAATTTGTCCATGTTCTTAAATGAAGACCCAGAGGCCCAGGCAAGGTCCCCTTAGCCCCAGGAAGATGGGGATGCTGCTACTGGCTCAGGTACAGTAAGAATCTCCTGGCAATTCCAGGGTTTGGAAATCAGGACTCACCACCACTTGGGGGCTGCTCTGCCTTGGGGCCAGCCTCTTCTTGGCCAACCTCTCTTTGGGGGGATGGCAGGAGCTCCCTGCCCTCGTCAACTTCGTCATCTTCTGGGGTCACTAACTTCATCAAGCTTTGATTGCACACGGCGGCCGACTCCTTAATATCTGCATTTCACTGATCAAAGAAGGTTTTTCCACAAAGACCAGGAGAATCCCCTCAGCATGCCCCCAAACTGGGGAGCCTCAGACCTTCAGGGGGACAGGGCGGTATCAGAGGGAGGACCTGCCCGGATCCTGCCTCTGTCCAGCCAGCCCCAAGGCTAAGAAGGGCTCCTGGGACTTGGTAACGGATTGCCCGCTCTAGAAAATGCAGGCCTGGAATGAACGAGCAAAGCCAGGGCAGCCCAGCTTCTCTGTCTCCTTCCCACACAGCTACACACCCCTCATGCTCCCTCACACCGTCTGGCCTGTCAGCACCACCAAGAGGACAGCACCCAACCAAAGCTCCTGCAAGGGCAACTGGGTTGCGCTTGCTCGCAAGCCTTGCCCCAAACAGCCCCATCCGTTCCCCTGGAGAAGGCCCCCGGGAAACAAGGGAAGATTTTGGGAGGGCCGACACCCCGCGTGGAGGTTACTAGAGGACAGAGAGCCTCTTCTTTGGGGACTGCGCGCTAGAGGGAGGAGGGAGGGAGGGCAATTTTTGATTCTTGATTTGTAGCACCAATTCTGCCATCATGTCAGACCCTCAATGTATTTTCAATGCATTTTCATTTCACTTCATTTCGGGTGCTGTAATTCTGGTGGGAGGGGGGAGGTTTATGCCAAGAGGGAGGGGGACAGTTCGGGAAGCCTATAATTTCCTTTATTTTGGTCTATCCTCTTTTGAAGTACCTTTCTTGGGGTGTGAAAGGAGAGAGGAATGTCCCCCCCCCTCTCACACACACACTTACTTGCTTTCCAAACTCTATCCTGATGGGTGCATCCAGAGATTAGCGACCCTCTTGCTCATTCCAAGCAGACAAAAACAAACCGAGTCTCACCCAGGAGCCACGGCCTCCCCTCTTCTGCTGAAATCCACCCAGGGAAGAGCTGGAGGAATCCTAGGATTCCAAGACTCATCAGCAGAGCCACACCCCTCAAGGGTTCTGTGGGGCTAGAAGAGCAGCAACCTCCCCTGGGGAGCCTCCCCCAAGGCAAGAGGCGGGGGCACAGCAGATACTCTTCTTGCGGTCGTCGTAGGACAGGCAGGGCAGGACGGCGGTCAAGATCCCAGAAGAATAGGGAAGCATCACCCGGCCGGCCAGCTGGATGAATTCCCGCATCCAACACATGGCGGTCAGCTGGATGAGATCATCTGTGGGAAAAGGGGTGCAAACAGTGAAAGCTCAAGCTGCTGCTTTTATCCCAGGTGGCACCTCACAGGTTTCATAAGTGACTGGGCACCTCTGCCCTCATCTCCCAAAAAGAGAAGAAATTCCAAAGAATCTGAAGCTAAAGGAAGGAGGAGACAAATGTGCTTGATGAGAGGGTCTTGGCAGACACAGGAACACTTACCAGCTGCCTCAGTCAGCAACTGTTTGAAGTTGTGACAGCACTGAAGAAATAACTTTATGTCCAACGCCCTCATTTACCACCTCCAGTGTGCATGGATGATCACACTTACAGCCAATACACCTTGCCCTGTGCCTGATCTGTTGGTTCCCCCCCCCCCCGTCTTGCACAGCCAAGATTCAAGAGGAAGGCATGCCAAGGGAATAAGCAGGCATACCGCTTAGAATAGCCCCAAAGAGAGAGAGAGGAGGCAAATAAATTTAACAAACAATAATCACAACAATCATACTACACCAGGCAGTTGGCACAGTGCCCTCACTGTGTCAATATATTGCTTGTGATGTGTATTTCCCAAGGTGCACCTGCTTAGTCTCTTATAATCCTTCCTCTCCAATGAATGTAAACACAAACATTACTTCCTTTCCTGTTCATTAACTCAGCACCAGTGTGAGCATTTTGAAGGACTGGGAATGGAGAAAAAAAAACAGTGATGGTCACGATTTTCCACTTAGCAATCGCTTCCCTTAGCAACAGAGTTGCTGATCCCAATTGTGGTCCCTGAATGAGAACTACCTGTATCCTTTGGGAAAAAAATACAACTTTTCACATAGTTCAAATATTTGCAGGCGCACAAATATTCTTGCATTTCTGCAGGTTTGACTCCATAACAGTGCTTGCCAGCCATGCTCCAAGAGCTGAGGGGTCATCGTTGCATGCAAGATGTCCTCATTTTTAAAGTTTTTTTTTTCTTAAACTGTACTGTTATTTTCTTTTTTAACCAATTCACCAACAAGCCAGTTCAGCATTCCCGCCAATCCCTTGAGAGAACGGGACTTCACCTCCCATCCTGAACAGCCCACTTGCATTAGTGCCACAAAAGGCTCCTTGTTCCACTGACCTGCCGAGGAAGTCACTTCCTGCATTTCAGCAACCCTTATTAAAGCAACTGTATGAATGAAGGCCCACTGGAAGAAGACACAGCTCAGGGAAAGAAAAAAGGCTTTTTTGAAACTCCTGTTCTTGATTGGTTTCAAAAGGACCACACAGACACAACTGCTCTGCTTCTGAAGTGTGGCTGCAGAATACTTGCAGCAGCAATTCAGGAGCCAGGGAAAATGAAGATGGAGACTTTTTACTTTTAAGCCGTTGCTGTGCATGAATACGTGCACTTTGATGCCTTGTCTGTGAAAGGTGCTATCTATGTAATAAATTATAAACAAAGTTTGATTTGACGGCCTAAAAAGGTCAGCATGAAAAGAGGCTGCGTCCATTAAGTCAGCTGAAGATATAGTGAGTCACGTGAACTCACCCTTCTGGAGAAATCAATAGGTGAGTGAAAGGGCTTCTCCTGTTCAGTTTGGCAGCCAAGATAAAATGGTATGGAGGACAGCGGGCAACAGAGGGGCCTTGCTGCCCCAGGGCAGGCTAGCCAGGGGAAATGGACGCGTCTGCCTCCATATTACAAAGCACAACAGACAAGCCAGTCCCTATCACTCCTTTGGTCAGATTGAAGAGGCCATGCTGAGGGGATGCAAGGCCAAGTTCACTGCAGTCCAAGGTGGACTGGGGTAGCATCGACATTCCTGTCCTTAATCCGCCCTTTTCCTAATGCAGCAACAGGAAATGGGACGCCCGGCATCTTCTAGGCCGGCCGTTTGCAGGGTGAGCAAGGCAAGCCACTACAGATTTATTCCAAACAGCCCTCCCCCCCTTTCCAGTCCTTCCATTCAGTGGGGGACAAACTCTGCCATTTGTAGGCCTAAGAGCTTGAACTTCCAATAAAACACAAATGCTGAGAGGGGTCAGCCAGCCGAGTGTGGTTGAGTTGGGTCTTTGGGAGCCGGAAAGGAGCTACCACCAAGGAAGGAGGTTGCTGTGCCCTGTTAAGCCTGGAGCATGTTTATGGCTCATCTCCTTTACAACCCGTCCATGTTTGCAAAGCATCGGGTTCAGAAATGGACTGGACGCTTAGCAAGGGAAAGCATGAGATGCACACTGGGGAGCGACACAGGCTTACCAGAAGCTTGGCAGTGAATGACCAGGATGTTGGCCATCTCAGCAAATTTGACATTGGCAGGGGTCCTCTTGATCTCTTTGAGAAATTCTCCCAATGCCACTTCACATCTGGAGGACAAGGCCAAGAATGAAAAGAGCACAGGAAGAAGCTGAAGCTTAGGCTTACAAGGAGCACATTTCCAGAAAAGAGAGCAATCGGCCAAAACTCCTGACACAAAACTTGCTCCCTGGAGACTGCTGGGTTTTCTTCTGCATGTCAACTCTACAAATGAGCACGGCTGCAGCCATTTTCCTTCCCATTCCAGGTTGCCACATAGAACAGAGGGAAGGGGGTTGCCCAGGTGCTTCGTTAGTCAAAATAATCTTTTGTCCCACGGGAACCAAGGTCATCGGCTGCTCCCAAGACCAGGGACTGGGCATTGCATAAAAAGCCTGCCAAAATATTGGGGAATGTAGTTGCTTGCATAGCTTTTGTGGGTGGGACATTTAACTTTGTATTGGGAAATTGTTACTTGTGTATCGACTCTTGACCGTGCCGATACTTTGTAACTAATAAACATGTTCTTTGAGGAATTTGCAAGCCTCAGAGTTCTGCTTTACTCGTCTTTGTCGGAACCACGACATCACAAATTGGAAGGAAAGGTTAGGCTGGCGCTCAGGTAAAGTCCATGCTGCCCTCCCCTACACGGCCAGGGGGCAGCTAGCTGCTCTGTGTAGTTGCCTTTAGGATGACTTGGAGTAACAGGAGGCACAAGACCTCTGGCTCGCCCAAGACCATGCTGCTGGGACGATTCTGACCATGGCAGCTGACAGCTGCTTGCGCAGCCTGATGCCTCCCTCTGTCTTGGAGCAACCAATGACCACAGGCGCCTTTTAAAGATTCAGCCTTTTGTTTGGACCAGAGAGCTGCACGTTCCCCTCCCCTCCTCACATTTAGACTGGCAGCTCAATTGCCAGACACACATTCCCAGACCCAACAGCGTCCTCACATTTTACGGATCTCTTTGCTGTTATCTCCCAGGATCTGGAAGAGTCCATCTAGAATCTCTGGCAGGTAATCCAGAAGATTAATGTCAGGAACAGATTCCAGCACCAAAATCTAGCACACGAGGGAGCAAAACCACAGTGTTAAGGAGCTGCACTCTGCAGTAGCACAAGAGTTCAGGGGGTCAGCCAGCAAGGGCACGGTGGTTCCCAGCAACAGCCACATCATAGGAAAGGGACACAAGGGACATAGGGTGTGGACTGGACAAAGGAGGGTTCAGTCCTCACTTAACCAGAGACCTCCTTGGCCGACTCTGGGCCAGTCGTGTTCCCTCTCAGCAGGGCTGCTGCCATGGGGAGATGCCAAGTTCCCACAATAATTCAAGAATCCTTTCCGGGGCTACCACCTCAGCTGAACTTTGAAAGCAGCAAATGGGTCCCACCCACATAAGCCATCATGTACATAAATTGTTTGGTTTACCAACGCAGCTGGGCTTAGTCACTGTGGTTGTAAACCATGGCTTATTGCTTAGTGTTCCATATGAATATCTGTAACATTTTTCTCTGTATGCTGGAGAAATCAGGACTAAAAATAAAGTGGGGTCTGTTTAAAAGTCTTGTTATCCTCGAGAAAAAGAAATCTGTGCTCACTTTTGAGGTTGGTGCCAACTCAGGACTGGGAAGCCACCCACAAAAGTACTCCAAGGCTAACATGATTTAAGCCCGTTATCTGCAGTGAGATTTTTGAGAAGACGCTGGCCTGTTCCACGTGGAACCAAGGAGAAAGGAGAGCCCCCTTCCAGAGCCGCCTCAGAATAAGAAAAGCCGCGCAGGGACCATGCACATCTGCCACTCACCCAGGAGATGATGAACTGCCGGGCATGCTGGTTGTTAGAGTAAATCCGCTCCCGCAGCAGCGGGATGAAGCTCACCAGGTCAAAGCGGCTGCTCTCGGTCACAATGTCCTGTCAAGGCAGAGAGCAGAGAGGAAAAGGATGTCGCCCTCACCCGCCCAGAGTAGCCCATCCCTGCAGCCAATCAGGCATCCTTCCTGAGGCAAGCAAGCTGCAAGGGCCTCCGGGTCCAGAATAGGACCGCTGTGCGGAGCCCCGGGTGTCTCCCTGTTCCCTCAAACTGGGTGCCTCGCCAGGAGGGTTTTCAGTTTAAACTGAAAGGTTGTTGTCTAACAGTTTCTCCTGTAAGGCTTTGCAAAACACTTCAACAATTATGTTATTTTCCTCTTCTATTTATTTAAATAATAAAGGCAAGAAACTTTTTAAAGGCCCCTTGAGATTTAAAAAGTTTTAAATGCTTCTTTTTGTAGGATTTCTATGAAACTGGGAAATAAAATAGAATAGAATAGACCTGGAGGGGACCTTGGAGGTCTAGTCCAGCCCCCTGCTCAAGCAGGAGATCGTATACCATCTCAGACCAGGACTGTCTAGCTCCTTTTAAAAAACTCAAGTGATGGAGCATCCAGGATTTCTGGAGACAAACTGTTTCACTGGTTAATTGTCCTCACTGTCAGGAACTTTCTCCTTAATGCAATGTTGCTTCTCTCTTTGATCAATTTCTAACCATTGTTTCTTGTCCTGCCCTCTGGTGCTTTGGTGAATAATGTGACCCCCTCTTCTTTATGGCAGCCCCTCAAATACTGGAACACTGCTATCATGTCTCCCTTATTTCTTCTTTTCTTTAGACTAGCCAAACCCAAGTCCTGCAGCCGTTCTTCGTATGTTTTAGTCTCCAGGCCTCTGATCATCTTATTCTTCTCTGAATTTTTTCCAAACTCTCAACATCTTTTTAGTGATATGGTGATCAAAATTAGCTGCAATATTCCAGGTATGGTCTTAGTAGGGTTTTATAAATCGGTACTAATACTTCGTGTGATCTTGATTCTATGTTTTTTAAAAAAACTCAGCTAATATGGGGTGTTTGCAGGCAGCCCCAGGGAATGGCTCTCATACCATGCCACTGGCTCAAAGAATCTCTGAAGATGCCAGGGAAGCAAGTGACAGTCCCAAAGATGGGAAGCAAGTGAGGTAACGACTCGGAAAGAACCAGGCACACATGCAAGACACGAGTCCTCAATGATCCCCAAACTGGACCTTTCCTTACACCACAATTGCCTCTAAGTTTCTGTGTAGGTTGAAAGCCAAGAGGGAACATTTGCTCAGAAGCCCAAATTCCACCTTCTAGTTCAGAGCTGTCCCCCCAAATCCCAGCTGTTTCCCCCCTTCAGGCCCCTCCCTCCAGTCACCTATTTCGATGGGACAAGAAGCTGTACCTTCAGAAGGCGATCCAGAAGCTCAGAACCGCTTTTGACATTCGGGTCAGGATCTGCAGCAAGCTGGGAAGAATAAAAGACCAGAGGAGGAGCCTGCAGGACATGCTAGCAAGGTTTGAACCTCCTGCTGCTCCCAAGATCCAGGTTGACGCTGCAACTTCCCCTTCTGTGTATGGAGGCCTTTGCCTTCGCCTCCTGTCCATCTTCAGAGGCCCTTCAGGGAGCCTGGATGGGGTGGAACCCAGGACAGATCCCACCCCATGGGTCAGCCTCCAGTGCCAGAGCTCAATCTGGGGAGCCTCAAGGCCACGAATGGTCCTCTACCCTTCTCCAGATTGCTGGAGGACCCCTCCCCCAGGAACTGTTTTCTACCTGCAGCCTCTGCTCACCAGCGGTTACCTTGCTCAGGCCATCAAAGAGCACGTTGAAGTGGGGGACAATGGCGCCCCGGGCCACCTTCACAATGTTGTACAGGGCCTCACAGGCATAATAGCGCAACCGGCTGTCAACATCTCCAAAGCACGTCAGGACCGGCTCGATGAGCTCCTTCAGGTACAGACCAGAATCCTGCAATGGAGACCATCAGGACTGGCCTAGCAAGGTCTCCCCTCATTCGGCATGGCAAAGGGAGACAATCACCATCTCTTTGTTCTTGGGTCACCCAATGCCAACTTCGTAGCTATCAAAACTCATGGGCCCCATTACTTTAGGATGCGATGCTTCACCTCCTTTGCCCTAAGCTAAAGAGCCCCCCCCCAACTTTGGCCTGCAGGGCATTCCTGTCTGCTTCTGTTATCTTTTCAGCCTCTTTTCCAGCTCCATGACTTGGGATTGTTGAGCCTGAAGCTTGACCCAAGAGACCTAAACTAAAAGGGATGCTCCAACCAAGACTCTCCCCTCACAGAGGAGCTGGATGCCAAGAAAAAGAGCAGCTAAGTCCTGCTTTTGGTCTGCTCTTCTTCTGAACTGCTGCTGTCCTGCTGAGTGTCTCTGAATCTTCCCCCACCATCCCAGTTGCTGATGGAGGTCCACATGTAGGACTCCAAGAAGAAAGCAGCTTGATTCAGCAAAAAACAATAACTCAGAATCTCATTCTGACAGCAATTTCTTAGTTTATCAGAGCTTAGCTTAAGGTCAGCTTGTAAACATGAACAAATAGCTGCTGATATAGTTCTAAAGAGGAAATTATTGAGTCATTTGCACCCCCTTAACTGTCTGGTTTGGCACAGCAATAAACAGGACAGACATAGACTTCAACGGATAGTTAGGACTGCAGAAAAAACTATAGGGTGTTACACGCCAAAACAACCAGACACAAAGACAGTTTTTCCCCCATGCTATCATTCTGCTAAACAACTAATTCCCCCAACACTATCTTAGTTCCTAGGATGTCAAGCCACATAGTATTGCTATTATCCTTCTCATCTTTCCGATTACCTATTTCCTTAGCTTCTTATGATACCTTTGTTGTTTGTATCTCATGATTTATGTTGATTGCTTTTATTTAGTATCTCATGGCTATCACTAAGTATTGTATCACGATTTATGAGGATTGTATTTTATGATTATCATGATTATCACTTGTTGCTTGTATGTACACTTATGCACTGAAGACAAATGCCTTGTGTGTCCAATCACAGTTGGCCAATAAAGCATTCTTCTATTGTTTGCCCTTCCAAGGAAGATCTGGGTTACTTTAAAGATGGTTGCGGCTTATGCAGATATAACCGCAGTGGAAAAATACTGATGTTTCACTGCCCTTACCACCAAGAGGGGACCTTTAACTGGGTTGTGCTTGGAATTCACCCTTTGCAGTTCTCCAGTGGTGCTTGAGGCATCTCTTCTCCCATTTCCTCCATCTCGGCAGCTCCATAAACCAGGAAAACCTCAGGATTCATGAGAGAAGAAAGGCTGCACGGGCACAATCTAGTTCAAAGTCCCTGCTGTCCTCTTATTCCAGGAAGTGATTGGGGCTCTGGCCAAACCATGCACTCAGCCTTCGGGAACAACCTCCAACTGCCTCTAGAACCCAGCAGGGTCCACTGTTGTCCTAGGGGAGGCCACTCAAATACTTCAAGCCTCTATGCAGGAAACAACACCAAGAGCTGGGAGCTGGTGGGGGGGGGTGTGTGTCAGCAGTTCTGCCACTGCTCCTATGAACTCATCAGGCGGGATCAAGTCCACTATGTCATGGAGGCCGCCTCAAACACCACTCCATTTGCCAGAACTCCACCACCGACCCCAGGTTATCTGCGGGCAACGCTTCCGCCACCCAGGCCTCTCCTAGAGCGGGGGCGGGGGGAGGCATATTTCTACTCCCGTTCGCGCTCCCCACCTCGGCCCTCTCTCCTCGGGGGCTTCCTTGCACAGGCCGGCAGCAGCAAAGGGCGGCCCCAGAGAAGTCCCCATCCCGGCACACCCAGCCTCGCTTCAAAGAGCCACAAGCCAACCTTCTTCCCCGCCGCTTCTCTGCTTCGCGGCTACCAGAGCCTTCGGGGCCCGAGCACAGAGGGATGCCGGGCGCCGGAGCCTGGCCCGCCTGCCCAGCCCTCTTCCGGCCCGCAGCGCCCACCTTGCCCAAGGCGATGGAGCAGGCGGCCAGGCCGATCAGGCCCCCTTTGCGGCTGTGCGGGTGCTGCGAGAGCGCGAACTCCACCGAGAGCGTCTGGATCACGTGCTTGATCTGCGCCGCGCTGTTCTGCGCCACGAACTCGCGCACCAGCCTGCAGGAGAGAGCCGAGTCTGGGCTTGTCTCGCCGCCCACCGGCCCCAGCCCGCCCATCCGGCCCCGCGCTCACTTCTCGATCTCCAGCGCCGCCACCTTTCGCTTCTCATACAGCTTGTCGTTCAGGGCGCGCACGATGCTGGGCGTCAGCGGCGAGAAGTCCTTCTCCGGGTTCATCGCGGCCGCGTGAAGGGCCGGCGGCGGAAGCGGCTACCGGGAGGTGGCCATATTCGTTGTCACATGATACCGCGCCTGCTGCTTCCGGGCAGGTGCGGAAGAGGCACCCGAGCATCCCGGGAGCTGTAGTTTCGCGCGTGACGTCATCCCATCCCGCGGGGCGAAACAGCGCCCCCTGCGCGAAGGCCAAAGAACCGGAACCCGCGACTCCCTCCGAAGGCCCGACCCCGGAAGTCCCTCTATCCCAAAAGAGGCGCGGACTATCTTTCGTGTCTCAAAAACAAATTTATTACTTCTCCGGCGGGATTCCCCTCAGGTAATAGACCCAGCTGACGGGCGAGCCCAGTCCGGCGGCGCGCGGGCAGGAGACCACCAGCTTGCCGGTGACCGGCGCCCTGCTCCCGCCGCCGGCGCCCTCGAAGGCCACGGAGATGGTGGCGGTCTTCTTGGGGCGGATGGTCTCGGCGGCGCGCACCGAGAAGGCGGCGCTGTCCACGGCGTAGCTGAAGGCCGCCGGCTGCAGAAAGACGTTCTTGAAAGGCAGTGCCACGCTGCCGCCCAGGCGGATCTGCACGGGGCCCTGCGGCCGGGGGGGCAGCGCCGTGCCCCGCAGCGGGATCGAGTAGTCGCCGCCCGCCGCCGAGGAGAGCAGGAGGGTCCCCCGGGCCTCGCCCAGCTGGCACGGCTCGAAGGTCACCTCCACGCCCACCTCGGTGCCCGTCTGGGCGCCCGCAGGCGCGCTGATGACCTTCTCGGCTTGGAAGTCCGGGCTGTCGATCTGCCGGTGGAGGAGAGGAGAGGAGAGGCGCGTTGGGCCCTCTGCGGAACCCGCCGCCACCCACACTTCACCCGGCATGCAGGCTCCGGGGCCGGCCGTGCCGGTCTCGGCCAGCGCAACCGGACGCTGCAAGGAAGGGAGGTGCGAGGGCCGGGTCGGGCGCTCACCTTGGTGGCGTACTCCGTCTTCTGGCGGGTGTAGTTGATGAACTTGGCCACCAAGGTCTGGCTGCTGCCCAGCATGGCCGAGAAACAGAGGGGTTTCTCCGGGCGGGCCGGCGTGGCCTTTAGGATCAGATCGTACTGGAAAGAGCCCAGATCGCTGCTGTTGAGGGCCAGACGCCCGCTGGTCTCCCCAGGCCTCGTTGGCAGGAATTCGAAGACGAGCGTTCCCTGGCAAGGCAGGAAGGAAAGGGATCTGAGGAGGGGACGGGAGGATAAGATGCCGGGCCGCAGGACAGATGGGGAAGAGAATGGGCACAAAGGGGTGAGAGCCAAGCAGAAAGAGGGAAACTGAGGTAAGCTCAGAATCTGCGACCACTAGAAGGGAAAGGCAGGTATGGTGTCCTCACAGCCAAAGAATCACATTTTCTGATCATTTAGCTGTGCAGTTAGTTGGCCACCGTGTTGATAAAGTCCATCAAAATGTGTTAATACAATAACTTGACACTGAGAGAAATATGACAGGCCATAGTAGGAACAGCAAAAACCACACATGCCACTGCCTAAATGGGCCAGAAGCCTCCCCGAAGAGGTGGCAAATAAGGAAGTCCCAGGGACCTCAGAGAGACGGCAGTCAATGCGATCGGTCCAGGAGAAGCCTTCCAGAAACCAACAGGAGAAAGGCTAGCCTAACTTCAGAGTCTAGCCCAAGCTGCAAGCAACTGAAGTCAAAAGCACTATTTTAAGCTGGTTGTAAACAGCATATTTGAATCTGAGTAAAAACATCGATTTTCTCTATCCTACTTATCAACTTTCCTGAAGAAAAAAAAAACCCAAGAAGCAAAAAACCTCCGGAGGGGTATTTTTGCCCTACCCTTTTACTAATGGAAGTGGCAAATTAAACCTTTTATGGAGGACCAAAACGTATTGAAATGAAATGACTATAAAACCTAAATTTGGATAAGTTTGAAATTACTGAATGGTTAAGATTCTCATTTTAAAGGCAATTTGTTCAGTTTGAAAATTTGAAAAATAAACCAGTGCTGGCATCTATGTGAAATGGTATATGGTCTCCTTGAGCAGGGGGTTGGACTGGAAGACCACCAAGGTCCCTTCTGGCTATAGTCTGATTGATTGATTGAAATCATCAGAGATACAAGTAATCCTCAAATTATGACTATAAAATATGGTCTGGGATGAAGATATATAACTGACCTTAAACCAGTGCAGGATTTCTTCCAGCAGTTTCAGGGAAGCATCGAAGCAATATGGGAAAGCATCGAGCCCTGAAGCCCACAAGTGAGGGAACCATGGAGTCCACCTGTCCACACAGCCTGCAGTACCCACATGGAAAGGAGGAGAACCACCACAACACAACATCCCCCACTCCCTTGCAGGGCACTGTGACTGATGGTAGTAAAGGCTGCTACATAAAGAACTCTGACAAACAGAGGGACAAAAAAAAACAACTATTAAAAAAGGGGAAAGGGGCACATAACTAGAACTGAATATCAGCAAAAAGCCTTACTCTGCAAGGAAGGATTTAGGAAAGCTAAGGTTCAGAATGAACTAAGACTTACAACAAATGCCAAGAATAACAAAAAGTTTCTTTCAATATGTAAGGAATAAGAAACATTTTCAAGAAAAGATTGGACAGCCATTTGTCCAGGATGGTACAAGGGCTCCTGCTTTGGGCAGGCAGGGGATTGGACTGGAAGGCCTCCAAGGTCCCCTCCAGACCTGTAATTCTATAAGACCACTGGAGCTCTGCCAAAGATCACCAGTGCTGTCTCTGCTATACCCTGGCCTGAGACCTGACTGGAATGGCTCCAGACAATCTTCCTTTGGACCGTTGTTTGACCACCCTCTCAACATTGGTCAGAAATTATCCAGCATTGTTGCATCCAATAATGGCTTCTTGGGGAGGGGGGCATATTACAGCCTTCAGAGATAAGGCTTCTATGATATCACTGCAAGAGTTGGAAAAAAGAAAGAGGAAAGGATCGAACAAAAGCCAAGATAGGAAAGGAAAGGAAACTCCATTTTCTCAAAGAATGGAAATGAAAGGCAAGTAAAAGATGCTGAGGATCTGCTGAGCTCTGGGGTCTAGCATGTACCTCAGACTGAGCAGGGACCACGAACTGAGGAGGCAGGTTGATGTCTGGCACCTTGCAGTCCGTACTGAAGGACACCTGGTAGTGCAGCGGGTTTTCCACCTTGACTGAGGAGGAGATGCTTTGCCGGACAGCTGTGGTCAACTCCAGGGTGCCTAGTGGGCCACATGGGGTGGCCTTAAATGTGATCAGGTAGAATAAGAATTCCTGGGTGGCCTCATTGCGGAAGGTGATCTGAAATGACAAGAGAATCTTGAGAACTATCTAGTCAATCAGCCCTAGACATCCTGTTGGAGGCCATGCAACCCTGAGCAAGTTGAAGACGCAAGGCCTCTGGCATCCATGCTGACCCTCCTGCCTGCCTCTGCTACTGAGGGGCCTTTGAGATGAAGGCAGGGAGCATCCCTGAAACAATTCAGAGGTCTGCTTGCTCTTAGCATTCTTGCTTGGACAGGGTACACAAAAAAAAGTGTAAAAGGCAGGATATTTATTCTCAACTGATGCATATTCTTGGTGAAAAGCAATGGCCAAATAACTGTAACCCCCCAAAAAATTGTATTTCTGAATCAAATTGTGCCAAAGAGCTGCTCTTTGTACAAAGATGCCGGGTCAAGAAAAAGCCTAAGAAGCTTTCAGGGTCACAGACCCATATACCTTGGCGGTGTACATGCCCTCTTTGTAAGAGAAGAAGGTAAGCTTGTGATCCTTCTTGGTGGAAGCTGGCACTTCAATGTAGTCGAGAGTTTTCAGGGTGGTTGTGACTTCCAGTTTTTCCGGCTTTATCATGTCAACCGTTACCCGAAACCTAGTCAGAAGAGGCAGTCATTTTATTCCTAGCCTAAAACCTACCTCAACGAGTTTTTCACACCTGGGCTTTCTCTACTAAATACCGTATATTCCGGCGTATAAGACGACTGGGCGTATAAGACGACCCCCAACTTTTGAGAAGATTTTCAGGCTTTAGAAAGTTATACGCCAGAAAATACAGTACAATATTGAATTTCTGTTTATAGATGAGCACAATAGGAGCTCCTTTGCTGCTAGAAAGCTTTGTCTTGTTAGTGCTTATTTCTGTAAAAAAATAGGGCTGGCCACTAGGGGGCAGATTGGTTTTAAATTCAGAGAACAGCTTCCCGTATATTCCTGCGTATAAGACGACCCCTGACTTTTGAGAAGATTTTCAGGCTTTAGAAAGTCGTCTTATATACCGGAAATTACGGGTAAATACAATGACAGCTACCTCAAAGTCCCAGCTGTCCCAGTACCCCTGTGGTCATGTGATTGTTGGCAACTGGCTTGCGCTTAACAATAATTGCAATGTCCTGTAGTCACACGATCGCCATTTGCAACATTCGCTGCCACCTTCCAACAAGCAAAATCCATGGAGAAGCCGGAGGAGGTCACAAATGGTGATCCCATAATGTTACACCTAGCAACCATGCAGGATTCGCATAACCTCCAAAACTAAAGCTGTTGTAAGTTGGTGTGATTATGTGATGCTGCACTTCCCGAGTGCTTAATGAAGAACTTCCTGGTCCCAATTACTGTTATTAACCAAAGGCTACTTGTACCTTGGATTACAGCTCAAATTGTCACCCTTATTGGGTCTGTTACCAGGTTATTTGTAATTGGCCTGAATTTCAAAACACATTTCAGAAAATCTTTCCCAGCAATTTCATGTAGAGGAGGCAATGTATGAAATTTAATAAATAGTAATAACTATAATATTCTTAACAAATCCCAAAGGAGCATTCTAGCCAAAACGGAACCCTCTGAAGGAATGGTCCACTTAACTTCTCACTGTGGAAGAAGTCTAACAGAAGTTGCCAGTGCAGTGTAGACTGGTCCGTTTTCACAAAAGATCCTAGTAATGCCTTACAGAATTTGAAAGGAGGGGTGTAGTTGTGATGTAACCTTCCTTCCAAACAAATATTCGCAAGGAGAGACTTTCTTTTTGGATTAACTGCTTCCAGTCCAGCTTGCCAAACAATTACACTTCCCATGAAATGACTCTCTCAAGTTCTGACATACCCATTGACA